ATATGTCAGAATCGTTTAATCAAACGCGCAGCTGCCTCCATAAACCCCTACTCGCGATATGGCGGAGTCTACAGAGACAGCCGCCATTTTGGACCCGCTTCAGATTTTTGAATGTTAATATCTAGACTTTGGATTTGTCAATATTCAAACAGATTATAAAGTAAGCATCATTGGAAAGGTCTCTATTACCCAAGCTTAAAATACTTAAAAAATATTGAAAAACAAAAAAGTTAGAAAAATCGACTTTTTAAATTCGCATCTTGTAACAACAGGAAGTATTGACGACGAACGAAAAGTTGCGTCCTGGATAGTAACTACGACGATCTATCATCCCTGAGAGTTTCATTTTGATATCTTTTACCGTTCTTGAGAAAATCCGTGGACAAAATGTCATTTTAAAATCAGGAAATGTCCCGTAACTTGGCACCGGAAGCGAATCGTAAAAAAATCTCTCAGATAAAATAACTTCAGATAACAACACATTGTTTCTGTAAATTTCATGAAAATCCATCCAGTAGTCTTCGAGAAATCGCGTGCACAAAATTAGATGGTCAGAAAAATAATAATAATAATAAGAAACAGTAGAATCACTATAAGGTCTTCCGTGAAGACGGAAGACCTTAATTATTAAGACTAAATCATTGAAAAGCGTCCTTTGCTTCTTTCTGAGCACCGAGGACATTTTTTATTGAACAGCCCTCGAAGTTAAGGCATGCTTGTCGACTGTTTTTAAAAAAAATTGTATTTTTAAAACGAACGCGCGCTCCCACTCTATTTTGAGAAAAGATATTTTTGCTTCCATTGTTGTGACTGCATTAACCCTGGTCTGTCTTAGACTGACATGTTGAATACTATACGTTAAGTCCACTCATTCTTTTATTTATGATAATTTTTAAGATTGGATTAAAAGATTGTTAAGTAGATTAGCTTAATATGAACAACAATATGCAACTTATTTATTAGGTGAAAAAGTTCAAATGCCATGTAATATATTTTAATAGACTTCAAAAGTGTTTGATTTGCGATTTATTTTTCGGAAAGTTGTTTATTAACTTTGAAATAAGACACCCATTTATTTTTTTTTATGAAGATTAAGAACAGCATTCAAGCACAGAAGTCCCTCAAACAATACAAATTTTGAAGAAGAGTAAACATTAACAACTGAAATATCAGAGGTGGAATGAGTTGCCATGGAGGACTGAGCGTCCCATGTTAACCGTTTACACCCAGCGCGTGCTCCTTGTTTTCGAGAAATATGAAAGAAATCCGCCAACAATTTAGAGTGTTAATACTTGCTAATGAAAAGCATCAGTCGGCATTTAATTAATGAACGAAAATGATGAATAAAAAATATATGTGTATCATATCTAAAAAAATTAATAAAATTAATTGATGGTTTATTCATTTACCCCAGCCTCCTTAAAAGTGAACAACACAAGTTTTCCGAATATCCGAGGTCCCATGCATGTAACGCTGGGCATAGATTCGATAAAAACGTTTAAACAGTTACTGTTTAAAGGCCGTGTACATTTGAAGGCCTTACCGGCAAACGGTGAGAAAAATCTCGCATGGGTCATTCGTATAAACAAAATAAATCATTTAATCGTTAATTAATTAATACGATGGGACATGCATTGTATTTATTACTTTACCACCAATTTTAATCCCCTATGACCTTTTCTGCAATATTTTATCCAATAATCTGCTTTATAATACCGTTTACTAGTACTATACACTTGTATTACATTCTGATTTCGATGTCTATATGCACAATTATATATGAAAGCAGTTTTGAAGCACATCATGAAAACAGTAGTGTCTTGTTTTGTAATTGCAATAAATGTGAAAATAAGAAAAGATTAAAAATTATTTTAAAAAGTACTAAAAATGTCAAATTGTAAGTTATAAAAGTACTTACGTTTCAAATAACCACTTGTCTGAAAATACCCAGAAACACCTTAAAAAAGTACAAAAATGCCAGATTGCAGGTTTAAAATTAAATATTTATGTGTCGAAAAAATACATTGGGATACTTAATATCCATAATATTTTCATCTGCTAATGGCAACCTGAGTGTTTACAATACACAAATATAAATGAGCATTTAAATTCTATTCTATGTTTGGATCTTAGGACATTTAAATGAATAATGTAAGATATATCTTTCACGTCAGCAAAAATTGTCGGCTTTCATATATGAACCTTTATTATCATTATGATAAAAAGAAAGCATTGCCCTACATAATCAGAAAATTCTAAATTAGAAAGTTCAATAGTTATCACCTACTGAATTTTACTCTTCAAATCTTCTAGGTTATCTTTACAAACTTGGGTTCTGTAGCACTCACATATTTCATATTCCTCTTTAACAGGTCCAGTCCAAAGTATAATTCTATCTACGTAGCTTTTAATAGCTATGTAGGTATTTACACCTATCCAAAAAAAGGATATGGAGATAACGTACAGTATTCAATCTCAACGTCCATAAAACAATATAAAATAAGAGCAGAGCAAACAGGGACCCCCGAAAATCAGAGGTGGGATCAGGTGCCATGGATGAGTGAACATACCCTGCCGACCGGTCACACTCGCCGTGTGCTCCTTGTCATGATCAGGAAATTACGGAAAAATCCGTCGTCAATTCAGTGTATAAATAATGGATTAACAATAGGGATGAAAAACATCAAAGTAGCTATTTTTACCTACTTTCTGCTTTACTTGCATTTTGTGGTCAAATGCAGGAACGGCGCAACATGGTGAACACTGATTTTCTTGATACAGACACACTGATGATGAATATGACAAAAATTTGATCAAGAAATTTTGCATTTAAACTAAATAAATGTAAAATTTTGTCGTATTCACCATTAGTGTGACTGTAAAAAAAAAAATGGTATTCACCATGTTGCGCCGTTCAGTCTTTTGGCCACAAAATGTAGATAATACAAAAAGTAGGTAAAAATAGCTACTTTGGGTAGGTTTTAATACCTACGTAGCTATTAATAGCTACGTAAGTAGAAATAGTCTTTGGACTGGACCTGTTTAACACTAAAAACTTAACGATTTCAACAGATTTAAATTTTAAATATGTATCCTTATCTTAACAACAAATTGTGATCATTTTGATTAAAAATAATACCTTCCCATGTAGCACTTTAATATCAATTATGGATCTTCCTATGACCAAAGGGGTCATGGATATGTCACTATTTAAATGGAGGGGGTATGTTTGAATTTTTTGTTTGAATTTATTCTTAAATAGAACTTTATTAAAGCTTTGATGTGCCTGAGACTCTGCATAATTTTTTGATTTTTTTCTCTCTCAATAGCTTTAATTCGTTGAAACTTATAAAAAATATATATTAACTTAATATTATCTTCGAATTAAGTATCCATCCTGTGTATCAACGATTATTTTGAGTTTATTTATCAAATATACAGAAAAGAAACGAGGGAAATGGGATTAACTAAGTTAAAAATGTTAGCTTTATAAGAAAATCCATGCCATAATCATTCTGATCCACATACATGTAATTGCCCATATTTATTCTTATTTATTTACTTGTAAACTCCTCTATCTTTCCTGAATCACACAATTGCCTATACCTTTTTGATTTATGCAATTACCCACAGCATTCTTGGTCCATACCATTACTAATCTTTATCCTGATTCATATAATCCTTCTTATATATACTTCATTACTTCCATTGTACATATATTTCCTTATTTATACAACTGCTTGCTTAGCCTGTTCTGATTTATACCATTGCCACGCCCTTTTATTTTACATAATTGCTCATTCATATCCAATTTCTGGTACTCCACCGTGTCTTTTACGCGCCATACAATTGCACACATCTTTCTTGATTAAGACGGTTGCTCATATCTATTTTATTCAGAAGTTATTTTTTTCATTGATGCATACTCTTTCTGATGATTTGATTAAACCCCTTTAATTTTTGAATTTTCTATGTATGGCAAATATTTTTTATTTCTCTATACTAAACAAATCCTAAAGCCAGATTTTGTTATTTCTATTAGATTTTTTTAACTATTCGTTAGAATTTTTTTAGGGTTGGGCTCTTTCATTACTTATTTCAAATTTATTATTATATTTTGCCCCCCCCCTTTCCCATTATTTTTTAAGCAGGACTGTTAACACCTGCTTAGGATAAAAGTGTGCTTCATAACAATGTGCTATCAATGCCAAAATGAATCCAATTGTACAAATAATCCTTTTTCACTCTAAATAAGAATTAATGGAAATATTAATATCAATATGACTATATTATTGATATATTGTCGTCACATTATTCTTCAAGGTGTTATTTCATTCCTCTTTTAATATACTTAAAAATAGCTGTCACTCTTATCTGATTAACATCTTCATTTGGTTTTATTAAATAATGAATTTAAACATGTTTAAAACCAAGTCATGCATAATATAAATCAGCAGTTGTCAGGATCGACCATACATTCTTGTACTAATCAACGTGCAATCATGTAGAAATAGCATTGACAGCTTATTCAATAAAGAGAAGCGCAGGCAAAGCATACAATTTGTCGAAGGCATATTATCAAAGATTTTTAAAATATATTTCATTAAATGAAGAAGGAGGAACGTTTTTCCCACTGAGTTTTTCTATTGTCGGTTGATATTATGAAGACTTAAAGAGTTAAAATATGCTTACTAAACTCATGGTGTTTGGTCACCTTTAAAACGTTTTTTTAAGGTTTAACCATTTATTAGGGGCTAGGTGATTTTTATATAAGACAACTCAATGTACACAGTAATTTAATTAGCTCCGTATATTCACACAATTCGCTTTTGAACATATATGTCAAAAGTTCCTTTTAATTGATCAACTTCTTCATTATATTTCTTAACACTTCAAAAAATTAATTAATCATGTATGTAATACTGTAACAGTGCTCTACTTGTCTTTTTTATCTTTTATCTTATACGTCTTCCATCCTATTCTTCTTGTTTTTCATAATTTTATCGCCAGGTCTTCTTTAATTTCACTAAACCATGATTTCTTGGTAGAGCAGGCCCTAGTGGATTCCTTCGTGCGAGCACAACATCTCTGCGTAAAGTCGGCGAGTAACCCTTCGACGATGAAGTAGGAATCGACCCTTTCTTTTCCACTCCACTCTCGCCAAGTTTTTCAGAAAGAATTTTTATGATATTCTTATATCTCTTCTTTTTAGCAATGTCTAGTGCAGTGAGGCCATTTTCCGAGCAAATAGATACGTCTGCACCATATTTAAGAAGTATTTTAACAGCCTTTAAACAGCCAATAAGGCATGACTCATGAAGTGCCGTTTGTCCACTTTCGCTTCGTATATTTACGTCAGCACCGTGGTCAAGAAGGAGAGGTAATGCGATATGTGCGTCCTCCCACATAGCAGCGTGATGTAAAGTATAATCTCCATACCTATCACACGCATTGACGTCTGCACCGTGATCAACCAGTGCCTTTATGCACTCCTTCGCAACAGAATATTTCTGAAGGGTCATCATCATAGGAGTTGTTCCATTTTTATTGTAAACATTCGGATCAGCCTCGTTATTCAGTAAAACTGACATGCAGTCAGCATTACAATTATAATAAGCACTCGCATGCAGAGCTGTATTACCATGGTTATCTTCTGCATTGACATTGGCTCCATATTCCAAAAGTAGCTTTACCATGCCAACTTGATCTTTTTCAACGGCTGTTATCAACAAAGTCTGATCAATGTAACCTGACTTGTAATTGTTTATATCGGCACCATTTTGTAAGAGAACTTTAACGATTTGATAATGACCCTCAGTAATAGCAGCAAAAAGGGGAGAGGCAGCTAAAGAACCATCAGGCTCCTTCGGGTTGACTTCCGCTTTGCGCTCTAGAAGGATGTCTACGACTTCTTTGAATCCGGCAGAACATGCAAAATAGAGAGCTGTTATACCATTAACTTTAGTGTGTACATCAGCGCCACGATCCAACAGTAGTAAGGCTGTTGAAAGATGGCTGCCTTCCAAAGCATGCATTAAAGGTGTGTAACTCTCGTCATCACTGTTGTTATTGATATCCATACCATGATCCAGTAAAAGACTGACGATATCTGAATGACCCCTAGAACATGCCATATCTAAAGCATTTTCTTCTTCCTCATCATCGCATATGTTGATATCAGCTCCATTCTTCAGCAAAATTTTAACAACATCTGTGAATCCTCTCCTTGATGCATTCATAAGAGGAGTGCGTCCTTCGTTATCTTTTTCGTTGACTTTTGCCCCATTTTCTGCAAGCAATGCAACAGTTTTTACGTATCCAGAATATGAAGGGGCTTCAAGGAGATTTCTTGAGTCATTTTCCTTAACTTCAGCATCGTGACACAACAATTCTTGTACAATTTCATGATGACCGAATTCTGAGGCAACAAACAGCGGGCTCTTTCCATATTGGGTACATGAATTTACGTCAGCTTTGTTTGCTAAAAGAATTTTTACAGCTTCGAGATGTCCATGCTCTGAAGCAACAAAAAGAGCAGAGGCCCCCTGCTTGTTAGTCATATTTACATCAGCGCCATGATTTAGAAGTTCCTGCACAATATTTTTATGCCCACAGGCTGAGGCCCGCATCAACGGAGTGAACCCTTTTTTTGTAGATAAATCGACGTCTGCATTGTTTGCCAGTAGTAATGACACTATATCAAGATGATCTTTTTCCGCTGCAAAGTGCAGTGGGGCTTTCGAAAAATTGTTGACTTGATTTACATTTGCTTTACTCTTCAGTAGTGATTGGACAGTAGAGTAGTGACCATTTTGAGATGCAACAATTAATGGAGTATCTCCCCCTTTAGTTTTTAGATTACTGTCCAAACGACAGTTTAATAATGTTTCTAATATCGAGGCATATCCATGAGCGGCTGCAGAATATAAAGGACTTATCATTTTATTCTTTCGAACTACATTCACATCTGCGCCATTACCTATAAGCATCTCCACAATTTTTTCATGACCATTGTCAACAGCTGCAAATACTGCTGTGGTACCAGTTGATAATCTGCAATCTATGCATGGAGTGTGCTGAAGAAACATTTTCACAATGTTTGTATGGCCTCTCTTACAAGCAACGAAGAAAGGAGTGTATCCCGTCTTTTCTTTGAGTTCATCGCCTGTTCCTTTGGTGAGTAATAGTTCGACTATAGCCTCATTTCCTTTTAATGATGCAAAATATAATGACGAAAGTCCCTCTGCGCTTTTCATATTAACATCTGCACCCTTCTCCAACAGTAACGTAACTATATCTAGGCTGCCAACCTTTGAAGCAAAATGTAAAGCAGACAGTTTGTCCTCGCCAGTGTCATTTACATTGGCACCACTCTCGAGCAAAATCCTAACAATGTCTATGTTCTTTCTTTGACAGCTATAAGCAAGAGCTGAGGGAAATTGAACGGGATGAATATTTACATCTGATCCTTTTTGAACAAGAAGAGATAGTGTGTGCAAACGCTTTTCCTCCAAAATTTCGTCAAACTTTTCATCAAATATATCGAACTCCTTACAACATGCCCAGGGTATGTTCTGGAGAGTGTTTCTGTCAGCTGCTGCTGCCAAGAAAAGAGGCGATTCATTGTTGTTCGTAACCATGTTTACATCACATTCATCGTTTAGAATAAGTGATAAAATGTCAGTCTGGAGGAAATTTGCAGCAATATGAACTGAGTATAATTTCTCCTGTTTGCTCCAGCATGCATTTTTGAAGTCTTTAATATCTATAACTTGTGCGACAAAATCGATTCTCCCATTGATACAACAGGCACTTTTCAATGAGGAATTCTTAAGATATTCGGAGAAGGTCCTAGTTTCCTTCACCAGTGAGAATATGGCAAAAAATAAATTATCCATGTTTAAGACAAGCGCAAGGATAATAGGTGATATGTCGTGGCACAGAGGAATCAAGTCAAGTCTTGAAAACCCCCGTAATTTCTTCTGCAGAACTGACCCCGGTTCCGGAAAATTATCGTCTTCATCCAGTTTGGAATGTAAGAGTATTTTTTCCAAGTCATCTTTAGATTTATTCTTTAAGCGCAATTTTAGCTTTGTCAAGACTCTTTCTTCCTGGATCCAAGGACTAAGAAATATATCCAAGTATGTACCATTCACAATATCTTCCTCGATTCTTTCAATGAAAGGATCAATAAAACGGTCTTCAAGTTGAATGTTTTGAAAGACTTCATTTTCTTTGATTGAACAAGTGGTTAATGTGCAAAAGAAACTGTTTTTGCAATATTTCAGAAACTTCTCTGGAATATCATCACAAAATATCCTGGTCAAGGCAAGCAGAAAAGAGTCATCTGTTATTTTGAAAATCTTGATGACTCTTCGTACAAAATAATGACCCCGGAGAGACTTTAAACATTGAAAAAGGGCAATCCTGGAAGTGCTCTGAGGAAGATTAAATGTTTTTAATAGATCATTAAGCATCATGACATTAATAGAATCTAAATCCTCATCGTCATCATCATCATCATCGTCGTCATCATCATCGTCGTCATCTTCATCATCTTCATCATCATCATCATCATCATTTTCGTTATCATCATCCTCTTCTTCATCTTTATATTTTTCTTCATCATTATCGCTACATTCTTCATCTTCGTTAGATTTTTCGCTATCATCATCGTCATTTTCCTCTTCAGATAAGTTTTCGTTATCCATTTTTTCAATGTTGGAACCTTCTTTGTCATCTTCCTTTTCCAGATTTTCATCATCTTGTTCTTTATCCTCAAAGCTGTCCTTATGTAATTCATTTCCATGTAACACCAACAAGAAGAGACACAGATATTTCTCTTTGGAATTTTCTTTCAACGATAGAATCTCTCTTTTCAGTTGCGTAAAAGGTTCTTTGAAAAATGTAAGTACATCTTTCTGAAAGAATTCGTTTGTAGAAACTATACTGGAGATTAAAGGAAATGATTTTTCCGTTTTAATAAGCTGACTGACTTCACTATCTTTAAGATTAGAACAATCAATGTGCATCTTGAGAATGTCTTCTTTTTCTCTGTCAGTCAACCTTGCATCATCTCCGTCCAGATTGATAATGGTAAACCCATTCATGAGGAATTCCATTTCTTTTCTGGGGAGATTTGACCTGCAAGTCACAATTATTTTTGGAGGCTTTACGCTGGTTTCTTCTTTATTTCTCGAAAAATACCCGTCGAATATCTTCCTTTGTAAATACCACATCCTAAGAGACTTTTCATCCAGATCACTTTTTCCAATAGGATCATTAATTAAAAACAGAACGGACACTTTTTTCACCGGTGCTCTCTTGACATCGTGTAGATTCTTTACTTCTACAATTCTCCAATCATTCTTCCGGTAATTCAGAGCAATGTGTTTAGCAATAGCTGTTTTTCCACACCCTGCTTCTCCCAGCAAAACAAGTTTATTAAGATGTAATTTAGATTCTACCAGTCTCGAGGCTCTGGTTTGTACAAACTTTCGGTCATCATCATACCAAGGATTCAACCACCGTGACTTCGATCTGTCTTCTGCTTCTTCTGTGTCTGAATCGGCAGACGACATATAATGGCCACATCCGCACCGTGGCATTTTGGAGTTGCTGTTCGAATTATTTATATTGTCTTTATTTAGCGTTTATGTAGTCTTCCTTCCCTGAAATAAAGAAGATTAATTAGATGAATGTAACAAAACTCCCGAGAGCGTCTAGTTAATTAATTTAAATGAAGTACTCGTTTTCTGCTTCGAAGTAGCTAGTATATTGCCATTTTAAATCATGCCTGAGGAAGTCAAAATAGAAAAATAATGAAAGCAATCGTACGAAAAGAGGATTAAGAGAAAGATATATAAAGTAAAGCAAACTTACAAAATAAAATACCCCCCCCCCCCCCACTGATTCCCTTGTACGACAGGTTCAAGTTTCTCACATGAAAGTCAATCTCTTTAGTCAAGAGACAATTTTAAAAAATGATACCAACGAGGGGCGTTCAATAAATAATGTCATCAGGGCTCGGAAAGAAACAAAAATTGCTTTTCTATGATTTTGTCTTAATGATTTAACTAAAGTATTCTCTTTTAATTAAAAGACATGTCCGTGACATTTTTATTCAATTTCTAATTGTTTTTAGAACACAGTTTTGAGTATGACCCTTCGTATACTGGAAAATGGCAGATCCTATGATATGCTGTGCTTGTTTTTTTCTTTCTGAAAGGTGTTTTCCTAAGTTTGGGAAATGAAACAAGTCAAAGATTGAAAGATCTGGCGAATATTGTTTATTTGACAAAACATTAACTTTCTGTTTATCCCAAAACTCCTTTACTCTTCATGGAATGTGGGTTTGGACGCTGTCAGGAAGAAATTTTAATGTAGTGAATTCCTCATTCTGTTTCCTTCCTCTTATAAACCTTTCAAATTTTTGGCAAATATTTTGCTTACTAAACTCTTCCAGAAATTGAACTGCCTCCCTATATCTGTATTTGAACAACAAGACCGCTAATATTTAAGAAAATGGCGTATAAAACTGTTTTTGTGTTCTTGCAATTTTTTGCTATTCTTAGGCCTTTGCAATTTTGTCAAGTACATCTTATTCTAAATTTGTTTTGAGGGTTTAACGCAAAATGGATTCAAGTTTCATGATCTGTTTGAATTTCAGAAAAATGTGAATAAGAACATTTTTTGATTTTTTAAAAATAATTGCTTAGATTTTCTACACGCTCTCGTTTTCACTCATATTTATAAATATAGGGTGACATTTGAGTATTAAACTTTTTTACAATCAAATGTTTCTTTAAAACAGTGTGAACTACCCCCGATATGATGTCTATCAAATTTGCTATGTAACTTAAAGTCAATAAAACATAATCTGTGATAATTTGTTGAATTATCGCTAGTATACATTGGTTGTTGTATGTCCTTGTTGACAAGGAGGGTACCCATTTTTGATGACCATTATATAATTTGTGTTAATTGAAATCCACCTGTTCATGTGTGTATGAAACAGACATAAGTTGCTGTAAATTTCACATATTTCAGTTAATATATTTTTCGGAAATTAACAAGTTTTACAGCAGCTTTAATGACACATTCAATTTTTAACAAGTTTTACAGCAGCTTTAATGAAGCTTTTATTTTCACTCTAATTTACTGATTCTTGACAATTCATTTTTAATGCAGTGTCTCGAGTAGCCCTTGTTTTCCAGCTTCCCACAATGAAATTATGCGATGAAAAGTGGTCACATATACTGTTATCATTTCATTAAAGATTCAATAATGAGAAAAAGTCAAGCTTAATGTCATATGATTTCTATGTTGTATGTCATGGAGCTGATGACATTATTTATTGAACGCCCCTCGTAAGAAATGACTTTTGCCACTAAAATGTCTGGTACTAATGAAGTCTCAAACACAAAACAATCAATAATTCTATGCTAAACATTATTTATGTACTGTGCATGCGTACGTACATATATATTTTGGTTTCGCCTCCTTTTCAAAAGAATGTCTCTGAACATGCGTGACGGAGACTAGAGTATGTTTTACATTCCATCTTGTTTGCTCGTGGTATGCAATGGTTAGAGCCTCTGCTCTAGAGTCGTGGGGAATGGAGCTGATTCTTACGTAGTTGGGTCGAAACCACTATGAGACGTGGAGACCGTTCTTTCAAATGAGACGGTATAAAACGAGGTCGTGTAACACACAATTTGTGTTGGCACGATAAATATCCCCTACTGCTCAATGGCTGAATGAATGCCGAGAAAATGTATAAGTTTGCAGCTTTTCACCAGCAAGTGGATACGTTGCCAAAAGAGTGAAAATTCTCGAGAGGGGTGTTAAACAATAAACAATGAATACATAAAACAAAACGGTTTTAATATTTAGCTAGTCTTTTTAATAATTTACCTTTCCATCTCTTGCCAATTATTAGCATTGCATATAGTATTTCAAAATAATGATCGTCATTTTAATACATCTTATATACGCTCAAAAAAGCTGCAAAACGCTTTTACTTGAACTTTATGCACAGATAATAAGGTTTTGTTGATAAAATGAGGTAATATAAACATGTGATTGATTACTTACATGTGCAATGAACTCACGTCCAGACAATGTTTTCAAAGGTAAATCATTTATGCACAGTGGTCAAACCTATTCGTATCGTTTTAGTGTTATTGGTGACCTGTCCGTTTCTAATACACATTTTAAATAGACCGTTTTAAATCTACAGCAAGATTGATTCTTTTTGTAAACATGTATTTAACTACATTACATACATTTTTTTTGCATGTATATACGAGGGTTGTCCCGTAATATCGTGGACAAGTTGTCTAGTTTGAAAAATAAACATCACTGCGTTCTGAAATTTTCACTATTATTTAGTACATATTTTAGCAATATACACAGCAAATTACAGATAAATATATGCATAAATAAACAAATTATGAGATTTTATGCCATGTATTGTATCACCTTACGGCGCATGGATTATCACGTCAAAGTGTCTAAAACAGCGTCACGTTTTATCTTTGCTGACAATGACGTTGGATGAGTCCGACTTAAATATAGGAATTTCATTGATACACATTCTTTAGTCTCCATAAACAGTCGAAGAACCAATTGGCACCCTCATGCGATCTTCTGAAGATTTATTAGTAATACGGACAATTTTCTCACCATCATTCAACTAATTAAAATCTCATATCGGCGGTCTACTGTGACAGCTTCTTTTGCTATTACATAAGATGTTTGTCCGTATGTTTTTTTACTCCCCAGGGACAGGATCAAAAAAGACTTCGTTAAAAAAAAACTCCTATTTCATTTGTATACTTAAGATATGGTGATATTTTTATACTCTTTTTTCTTCTGTGGTCATTTCAAGTCTCTAAAAGTGTCATTACAACATCGAATTAAAATTGAACTGCTCTCCGGTGCGCCGTAACGTCATAAAACGTCGCCATTTTTCGTGTGTTGTGTTTACCACTTTCTCATTTCGAATGCTCGAGAAATTGCCAAAAATTAACCAAATGGCTAAAAATTTTTACAAAGACTACAAAATTGATTGTGGAATTGAATTAGGATAATTTTAATCCATATCTTATGTATTTAAAACTTTTATTTTGATTTTAAACTTTTGTATTCTTTAATAAAACCTTGGTTTTTTTACCGTGCGCCGTACGACAATACCCCGTGCACATTCAAGCATAATAAAATCTTTATTTTTGCGTATATTTTATCAAAAAAATTATCATGCACTTAAATATGATAAATAAACATTTACTGAAATTTTCAGCTTAGTGCGCCTATTACTTTTCGAGAAAAACGCTTTGTCCACGATTTTACGGGACAACCCTCGTATTACATACATTTTCATTATATATGAAACTAGCGCTTTGCATACTTTAGATTCAACATTTTTTTTTGTTTCAAGCGACAATACTACAGACGTTTATGAGGGAAATTTTAAAACAAATTAAATTGTATGCTTCCGGTTGATCAGGTTAAGAAGGACTTTGAAGATTAAATGTTCAATTCATTTAAAGTTTAAAGTTTACTTCAGTTTGAGTATTACGGCACTTGTATAAGTTTTAAACTCTTTGAAAGAAAATCATGTGTATGTATTTGAACTTTCAATTAATTCTTTTATTTATTCTTCATGAACCATTAGTGTAACACAGACACACACACTCTGCCTCTCACACACACACACACACACACACACACATAAATGGAAGTGAAGTGCATGGGGACAGAAAAATTCTTCAAATTAATGAACAGTTATAGGAAAAGATTATTTGAATCAGTAGTGACTTATTAAAATGTTTGAACATAAATGTCTTAAGATTATGTTTGTTTTTTGATTCATGGTCTTTGATTGGACTTACTAGGAAATAATTACCATCAGAGTATTCTGCTATCAGAATACAGCAAAAGAAACATGAGGCTTATGAGTCTTATCTGTCACATGAGCAAGATTTGCTTCTAGATTCCTCATTGAATGATTATAGTTTTCAAAGATTTTATGTGCTTTATTAAAATCTCAATAGCACCCCACCTGAACCGAAGAATCTGACGTCATAAATAATAGAATAAAAAAAAATTGACGTAATGAAAAAAGAATACTTCTGAACATCAAATATATAAGATGCAAATTGTTTTTGTTTTTTACAGAAATAAGGTATATACATGTCATATTTCTTTTTTGGGTTTCCAAAGATAATTAATCATTGATCTTAAAGTGATTTTTTCTAGAATGTTTTAGAGGAAATGTGCTTTAAAATTGTTATGTTTCTTTTTTCTTTCCTCAGAAAAGAGAGTAACACTCATTTTCAAATGTCTTCTTGTTTGGTGAATTCAAAAGTAGTTTGAATATTCGCACGTCATAAAAAAGCAAGAAACTTGGGGAATATACCAGAGCAAATAGGAGTTGGACTATTGTTTTTTTTTCATGTCACTGTAACTACCGTAAATCTGGAATTTTTTTTTTTACTGTAGATAAATTTTTAGCAAATTTGCGCGTGCACTGAATTCGCAAAAATATTTTTCTTAAAAAAAAATCAACAGACCTCGTGTCTTTTTTTAACTCATAGAACATGGAGAATAGGCGTCGGTAAGCACTGATGCATGTCAACATGGGAGATAACTCGAACTGCATTTACTAGAGATTTCCAAATGTAAACACGGCGTGCAAATTTTTAGTAAGAAAAAAACCAATCGTTGAGAAAAATAATTATATATTTTAAAATTTATTTGGATTATATTTTAGGTTAAAAGACACACACAACCTCTAAAATGTTTGTTATAATCAATGAAGAAGTTATTTTCGGTGTAATTCCCTTGACATGTATTTTATCAAAATTGTTTCGGAGCGATTCTGTAATTTCTTGCCACGTTACAAGTAAATTGGTGGTATTCTAACTGTGCATACTAATTTGAAACAATAACTTGTTTGAAAATCTTCAGTTATTTTTATTTTTAGCGCCACTGACAAAAAAAAAATTCGCAAAAATTTAAAGCGTAAAAATTAATCAGCAGCTTTTTGACCCAAATTCGCAAAAATATAACGACGTAAAAATTTCCATATTTACGGTATCAGGTATCTTGCGGTTGCATATAAAATAATATAAAACCTCTTATTTTAACCTTAAATTAGAAAAAAAAGAAATAAATCATATAACACATTTTTTTTTAATTTAAAATTGAATTGAATTAAAAAAAAAATTATTGTCATCTGCCAACTAAGTTTATAAATTTCACAATTTTTTTAAAGACATTTGCAAATATTCTTGCAAGGCATTGGCACTTTTATCAGCATTACCGGGTGTATACTGTCTTCATGCGTTACTTTCATACGGATTCCTAGTGTTGAAATATAAACGTTTAATCTTTTTAATCATCGCCGAACAGGTATTTTGTATGGACTTCGTTTTCTTGGTAGCGCTGGGCCTAGAGGATTAAATTTAACCATCACAATTTTTTGTTCAGACACTACTGAAGGTTCTTGATTGTTATCCAACTCCGAAGATTCCTGATTAGTCGTATCAGAATCTTCTTCAAGAACATTTCCATCCTTGTGAAATCCTTTTCTTTCGACATTCTCCACTGGATCAAGTTTAAAGCGTGTATACATCTCTTCCTTGATCTGACAAGGCAAAAAGGAGAGTGGACAAACCCCTTCTTTGTCGGTTAAATTCACATCAGCACCATTACTAAGTAAAATATTTATCACATTCAAGTGAAAATTTTCTGTAGCTCGATGAAGAGCAGTTTTTCCAAACTTATCCTGTGCATTAACATCTGCACCGTGTTCAATGAGAGCGCTTATTCGTTTATCACGGATGTTCTGTGTTTCTTCAGTAGCCACCATCAAAGCGGTCACTCCATCTTCATTGCAGACGTTAACATCTGCACCATTCTTTAGCAAAAACAGCATAACGTCATCACTAGATGGATTTTGAACACTCAAATGCAAGCACGTATTTCCATATTTATTCTGAATATCAATTTTTGTTTTATAATCAATCAGTAATTTCATAATATTACAATGACTCCCTTTTGTAGCATAGAAAAGGGGAGTTTCGCCGTCAGAATTCGTACCATTTACGTTGGCGTTGTGTTGAATCAAGGTTTTTGCAATTTCTAGCTCACCATTTTCTGCTGCTATGCTCAATGGGTCGGGAGACAATGGTCTTCCATCGCTTTCCGGATTAACCTCAGCATCTTTGCTTACAAGTTTATTTACCACATCAAGAAAACCAGCCTCACAGGCAAGAGAAACAAGATTCTTACCATCAGCTATTATTCTTACGTTTGGATCATGTGCTAATAAAATCAGAGCTGTCCTTCTATTGTGTGTCATTAATGCCAAGTATAATGCAGAGTATCCTTCAATCTGGAGGTCGTTTATGTCAATTCCAGAATCAAGAAGAGTTTCAATAACATCATTACTTCCCGTTTGACAGGCATGATGGAGTGCATTTTCTTTTTCACAGTCTTTAAAGTTCACATCAGCACCATTTTTCAAAAGAATACTAATAACATCGTTCAGATCTTGTCTTGCTGCAATCAGGAGTGGTGCATCGTCGCCGTCCACTTTTTGGTTCACTTTAGCGCCATTTTGAACAAGGGCTTCAACCACATTGAGATGACCATTGAAGACAGCGGCGGAAAGTGGTGTTTGAGAGTCGTCGTTTTCAATGTCAACAACGGCGCCGTATCGTATCAATTCTTTCACGACTTCTGGTTGTCCCCAGAAAGACGCAATATATAATGGACTGTTTCCCCCATCTGAATGTAAATTCATATCCGCTTTACTTCCAAGTAAAAGTTTCACAGTGTCCAAATGTCCATTCATTGAGGCATGCAGAAGTGGTGTACAACTGTGATCATCAGGTTTGTTAATACTTGCGCCATTTTCTAGCAAACATTGCACAGCTTGGGTGCAGCCATTTCTACATGCGTTGATAAGTGGTGTAAATCCTTTCTTTGCAGCTAGTTCCACATCAGCTTTTTTTTCTATCAACAATTTCATAATATCTCGATTTCCTACACCAGATGCCACGTAAAGTGGATTTTCCATAGTCCACTTTTCCTTTGTGTTCACGTTAGCACCATTTTCAAGAAGCAAATTTACAATTTCTTTGTTGCAAGATTCGATTGCACCGAGAAGCAAGGGGAGCACTTCCACTCCATATGACGTCTTCATTTTTTCCTTGGTGTATTTCAAAAACAGTTTAACAACTTTTTCATGACCATCTTTACAGGCAAGATAAAAGGGGGAATTATAAGATAGAGTCTCCAACTCTTTGTTTACTCCCTTGGATAAGAGAATCTCAACAATGTCATGATGGCCTTCCCGTGCTGCATAATACAAAGGAGTGTATTTTCTACCCGGATAAACTTTGATATCGGCGCCTTTTTCCAACAAAGTTTTCACAATTTCAGTATGCCCAAGCTTAGAAGCGAATTGCAAAGCGCTGTATTTAGAGTCCTCATCAAGATCTGCTCCATTTTCAAGAAGCAGTTGAAAGGGTCTGATATCGGTTTTGTTGCAAGCAAGAGCTAAAGGAGGTTGAGTGAAATCTGGATAAGTATTAATATTTGCACCCCTTTCAATGAGTTCCTTAAGAGTTTTCAACAATCCATCTTCATTTTTCTCTGTGCTTAATTTTGTAGGCAAACTGAAAAGGTCATGTATCTCACTGGAAATTGCTAGAAAGAGAGGTGTTTCATTCAAAACAGTGGTAAAATTGACGTTTTGATTTTCATCTAATATGCATTGCAAAATTTCGTTATGATGGAAATTTGCAGCAATGTGAAGAGAATGTATTTTATCCTCTTCATTCCACATATAATTTAGCTGGTCTTTCCCGAAATACTCAAATATTTTAGAGGCCAGTTCTTTTTTGCCATTTGCACAAATGGCGCCCAACAACGGTTCGTTTTTGAGTTTGATGATACTAGGTGTAAAAGACTGAAGCTTTTCAAACATAGCAGAAAATATTCTGTCATGGTTAAAAAGCAAAGACAAAATTATTGGAGAAATTCTCTTTCCATATGTGATGAGATCTAATTTCGAAAACCCTCTCAGATTTTTCCTTTCCTTCTTTCTCCATACTTTCAGCCCAATCTCTTCTTTAGACAGTTCTGGAATCAATGCCAACTCCATTATTTCCTCTGCCCTTTTGCTGTCTATCATATTCTCCATAACCTTTATCATTCTTTCATCACTTGTCCAAGGGCTCAAGAACACGTCAAGAAATGTTCCATCAAAAATGTCACTTGCTATTCTCTTTACATAGTGTTCGATAAAACTGCCCTCAAGGTATACCTTTAGGCTGAAATGCTGGTCGGTTTCCTCATAACAATATTTTCGAAACATTGCAGATTCACAATATTTTAAAAACATCTCGGGAACCTGCCTGCAATACAGCAGGAGACATGTTTGAAATAACAAGCTATTTTGAAACTGAAATGCACCATTTATATCTTTTAGATATGGTCCTGTTAAGGTTTCCAAACTATATACAATAGATTGTGGAGTTGTAGTTTCTGGAAGTCCAAATACTTTTAACATGTGTTGAAGAATCTCGTTCGTAATGTTAATTCCACTTTCATCATCATCATTGTCATCATTGTTTATACTGTCATCTTGTTTTTTTAATGCACAATCTGATAGAAAGTCGTCCTTCTTAATCAAGTTATCTCCTATCGTAACCAGAAACAACGCCAGGTATTTTTCTTTAGCGACATCTTTCAGATTTAGAACGTCCTCGGTGATTGAATCGCAGGGATTTTGAAAAAATGTCTTCACGTTCTTTTGAAAAGTTTTATTACAGGCAAGAGTCTGACATAACATAGGAAATGCTTTGTTTGATCCCATGATTATCTCTTTATCCTTTTCATCTAGGTTGGAAATATCTACATGACTTTTCAAAATATTCTCCTTTTCGTCATTTGTTAATGCTAGTGAATCATCGTCGATATCGATAACTGTGTAATATTTAAAAAGTGACATGTTATTTCTTATAATATCTGATTTGCATGTGACTAAAATCCTCATATTTGGTGCAACCTTTTTTCCAAGATTTCCAAGCCTTAAGAAATGGTCCAATTGATCCTTCTGCGCTTTCCACCATTGACAAGCCAAAGGATCAATTTGGGATTGTCCTATAGGGTCGTCAACAACAAAGATATCTACATTAGTTCCAATCTTGGTTGGAATTTGATGTTGTAGGTCGTCCATGGCATTGATGTACGAGATTTTTTTCTTCTTCATGGCATACTTGATGGCGATATTCTTTGCTATGGCAGATTTCCCTGAGCCTGCAGATCCGATTATCAATATCCTGTCATGCATTCGGACTTTTTCAGAAACAAATTTTGAAGCCTTTGTAGGAACAAATCGGTGATTTTCTTTTACCCAATGTCTCTGAATTGGTTTCAATCTGTCCATCCAAGTGTATTCATCATCACTGTCTGAGTCGGACATCTTGGTCTCTTTTTAATGCGGTTTTTCGTCCGTGACAAGAAAATCTTCCTTTAATGTTTATGAACGCCAGGCTATTCTGGAAATAAAAACTAATCATTAAAACATGCTTGTGTCATCTACAGCGCTATGTATTTTTTTCTTAATTTTCTTCAAGTTATTCAAAGACGTGAATCCAACTTACCCACACAAATCTTTTGCTTGAATATTATAAATGAACGAGGACCTAAAGCCATCCAGTACATATGCAAGTGCATTTAATCCTTTGTTGATAAGTACAACCGAGTTAAATTATCCACCTAATAAACAACGTTAAAAAAGAGCATCGAATTCTATCTGAAAGTTCTTTGATTAAGATTCTTAATTTTGTTAATCGCCTTTCAACGTAGACGATCCATTTTTAAGTTGAACATCAACTCCTCAGTTCTATTTGAAAAACTTAGGAACTCGTTTTAAATTTAATTTTTAATTGATAACAGTTTAGATTTTGATTCTGGTAGACTCATATGTTTTTCTAATGTTGTTTAAAACTCTGCAAGGAGCAATTGAATCTAACTTTTTTGTAAAGGAGGGTCGTGAGGCTGGGGGAGGTTGTTGTTTAAAATCATTAAACGTTATTTAAGACGGAAAACAGAACACAACTGTTACAAAACTATATTAATCATTCGCAATTTTGCTGGACCTGTATGATATACAGATTTCATTTTTGCATTTAATCAATGAAAAATTAAAGCTTTTCAAATTGTAAAAAAACTCTGTGAGCTAATGATTTACTCATCCACTTATAAAATGAAGAACAGAGCCAAAAGTACTGTTCCGTGTCAAAACATGGTAAATCGAGAGAAGATATAAATGAAAAGGCCCAACAATGATCTATTGAGGTAAAATTGGTTACTTTAGAAAAATATTTGATTCAATTTTAGACATATTCAATTTTGGTGGAAGTCTGATCTAATGTGATCATTTAATCAAAAATGATGTGCAACAGTCTTGTGCATTGTGTCCACATAAGTAGATACAGTATAATTATTTGTTACATTTAGATGTATAGTAGGGCTAAATCTTGATGAGTAAATACCACTCAAAGTTAATACTTACATGAGAAGCACTAAGTCTGGTCCAGAAACATGGTTCAACCTTTATGGTTTATGGTTCGAATTTTAGACGATATTACAGGTCCATGCATACATATATTTCAATCAAGCGTTACAGTTCCAATCAATGGGTGATTGCGAATTAAATTCTTCGATTCACTGACATCGTTTCCAAAATAATGCCAGCCATTTAAAATCGGCTCAGTAAATGAAATTCTGTATGCCTTTGAATTTCCTATCACCACACACAATATTATTTATTAAATATTTTACACCTATTCTTTGCATGAAAGCTGCCAAATAGGATTACAGTTACCCTGTTATAACCACGAGGAATTAGATTATGTTATTACTAGGAGACTGTGTACTAACAAACACGTTTTTGAATATTTGATGGCTATTGATTTATTTACATTCTCTACAGTGTTGTTCTTAAGGATGACTTGTATTTCTGGAAGTCAGAGAGAGAGAGAGAGAGAGAGAGAGAGAGAGAGAGAGAGAGTAATGAAACGAGGTTTCCTCTTATTCCAATTCCACCTTTTTGATATTTTGTAAAAACACACAAGAGTTATCGGTCCCTTCACACAAATTCAAAATGAAAGTAGCTACATGTAGAAACAAAATCAATAATTGAAGGTAAGGTCAATTAGATATAAAGTAAGATCTCCAGAGTAATCTAATACAATATGTGTATAGATATGTTACCTGAGTTGTTAACAGATCAATATATAGGTTCTATTTTAGGTTCCGTTGCTAAAAAATGGACAACGTATCAGTGGTTAAAATGTATGTATTTACATGTTTCATTTCAAATGATTGCCTGTCACTTTCACATAAGGTTTAAATGTTGCGTCAGTTTTCCACAAACGAAATTGTTCTTGAAATCGTATTGAAAATTAATGAAAAATGCAATTTAGTCGTGAACATTCAACTGACTTAATTTGACTTAATCAGGTAATTGTTCCTAAAATGGTGTCAAAATTAAAATAAATTTTGAATAAATGAATGAGTACTACAGATCCTACGGCAAGAAAGGTAATCCATATAAAAAATGTTTAAAAAAAAAAAAACGAGAAATTTGGTGACACTTTTCTGTCCGCAAAAGATACTGTTGACATGCAAGAATATAACGTTGACATGAAAAAAAGTCATGATGACATGCAAGCTACGAATTTTGTACAAATATCTTATCTTAATATGATTTATCTACTGATAACCGTCAGTATCAGACATCATAGCTGCAAGGTGCAACATCATTATCTCTACATGCGAAAAAACCTATGCTAACATGCGACTTATTACATTAACTTGCTACTTATATTTTGTGTCAAAATGCAAGTTATTTATATGTTAAAACATGCAGGAATGTCAACAAAAGACAAGATAATTATATGTGTTGTCATGAGATATTTATTTGAACCTGCAGTATAATAACTGACATGTTAAAATAACTATCTTGCATGTTGATTTAAGGAATCACTGTCTAGTTTTGAGAGTATGCCAGGGCATCAACAATAGTGGGAAACATGGGACAATTTGCATAACGGGCTTCGCCCGTTATACTAAAATTATCCCATGTTTCCCACTATTGTTGATGTTCCTGGCATACTCTCATAACTAGACAGTGATTGCTTATATTTCCATTCCATTGTGAAATAAAATTGTAGACTAAGACATTAAAAATGTAGAATAAAAGATTTAAATTACACGACTTCCATGCCAATTTCAATAGTCCTCGCACACTGACGTCAAACACAAAGGCAGCCGCACGAGATTTTCATGCATATTTAGCCTCCCTAGCGTCAGACACAGAGACAGATGCGCACGAGATTTGCATGCGTATTAGGCCTCCTTAGCTGCTGACCTATCGACCTGCCTAATTTACATTCCGGTAGAATTATCAAGAAATAAATTCCTCCAACTTTCAAACAGTTATCACAGAGAAAAAAAAACTAGAAATGGAAATATATAAATAAATTGCATGTCAACATCCACTATATATAAATGAATACAGTCCACTACTTGTTTTCCCATAGGCGACAATGTTAACGTTTCTTCTCATAGCGATGTCCCTAATTTTCGTTCAGAGGTGAGTGACCCCTCAAATCAAACCACATCAACTTGTCTTTCCTTACTTAAAATCTCGAGGTAACATGTCAGATTCTTTTCCGGCAAAACGCGTCTGTCTGCGGGAACCTCTAAAAATGAAAGTGAAAGTAAGGGAATTTCGAAATTCTCACTGGTGGTGTAATACACAAAATAATTCGACTGATCTTCCTGATAAATTACATTTGCCAAGCTTTTTTGGTAGGAAAGATACTCCTTATCTACACGTTTGAGGCTCAGTTCAGTACATCTGCACATTTTTTAATGCAAGTCTGCAAATTAAGGAACTTGTAATTTTTTCTGCACTACTTTCTTCTCTTACCGATTCTAAAAATAATTAGTGGGATGTACCCAAATACACGTTTTTTTTTCATATAAAACTTTTAAAGTGGTTTGGTTTCAGGGAAATTTGATGATTTATCCAGGAATTTTGTTTAAAAAACCCTGTGTGCTAAAAGTAATTTCACTTTCACTCGCTTGACTCTAAAGATCCATAAGCCTTTCTCATTCACGTAATTTATTTTTTCTTTTCGTAGATAATGGAAGCCAAGGCCACTAACACCTACAAACCATTTGCCAAATTAGGACAGTTCATAAAACAAGTTTTGGAAGATGAAGATACCTCTGAGTCTCCTAACCTCCACAAACTAGCCAGAACTGGAAACGAGGCTCAGCTACAAGAAATTATCAATAACGGATGTGACGTCAACGTAGAAAATAGTGATGGTTTTACAGCACTATATATAGCAACGGAAAGAAGTCATAGAAATATTGTGGAAATCCTCCTTCGGAAGGAAGCATGTGTCAATACAAAGCACAATCCTTTGCATATCGTTCGAGATTTGGATATTGCGCATCTACTTCTTCAAGCTAAAGGCGATCTTAACGCCAGAGACGAATATGGAAATACTCCTTTGCATAAAGCGATTATTGCTGGGAAGGAGAAAATAGTTGAATTTTATTTGTCTGTCGGAGCAGATATTCACCAAATGAATGCTAGAAAAGAAACAGCTCTTCACACCTTATGTTCGGCCTTTATGGAAGAACCTCATGGTTCAAAATTGGCTCAAACGCTTATTGAGGGAGGCATCAGTGTAAATTGTAAAGACTGGTTGAATAGATCACCCTTACACTTAGCTTCCATACATTATCACCTTGATAAACTTCAGACTATCTGTACTCTGATAAAAGCTGGAGCTTCCCTGTCGGACTTGGACTTGCAAGGTTTAAACCCAGTACATCATTTTTTCGAACAATCTAGAGGATGCTCCGATGAAAATGAAGAGGTTTCGTTAACATTTATTGACTCTCTTATTGTTGATGAACAAACAGCAAACTTTCGAACTGCAATTGGTCAGACTATCTTGCATCTTGCCATTCGAGATATATACCCCTTCAGATTCTGAAAAACCTTGTAAAGAAAGGATGCCATCTCTATGCGAAAGATAGTCGAAAGCAAAGTCTTCTGCATTATCTAATCGATCGGGATGATCCCACAGCTATGTTACAATACTTAGTAGGAATGGGATTAGATATAAATGGTCGTGATATTTGGGGACAAAGCATCTTGCATCTTGCTGTCTAGAAAAATAAGAAAAAACTTGTAGAGGCTCTTTTCAGTCTTGGAGCTGAAGTAAATGTGATGGATTCAGTTGCGAGACAACCAATACACATAGCTGCAGAACATGGTTGGGATTTTATTCTCGACTTCCTTCTACAAAAAGGGGCCAATATCAATTCACTAGATAAATATCAATCTACACCTTTACATTTTGCTGCTTGGAATAACAAGTCGTCCATTGCATATACCCTTATCAATTGTGGCTGTGATGTTGGAAGCAGAGATGCACATGGGCAAACTGCAAAGGATGTAGCAGAGTTTAAATCCAGTGTTGATTTTCTACAAATTCTTGATGAACATGGCATAGAATATCAAAAACATAAAGAGATGTCGTTTTCAAAACATGCTAATAAGTTGTTACATCTGAAAGATTTTCAAGATATCTTAAATTCAAATGAAAGTCTAAGGGATGCAAAGAATCTTAATGAGTATCTAAGCAGCCTGCTAACAACTGCACCGACGGGAATTCTGTTCAACGATCCTGAAGCCATTGACATTTATACAACTATGAACACATTTGCAATTAATGCTGCAAAAGGCCTTTCTCAAAGTGATCCAAAACTCGAGTGCACTGTGTATTTTGCTGGAAGTTCAGCTGAAGGAACAAAGACACGTTATCCTGACGAATTTGATTATATTGTTTGTTTCGATGAACTCAGTAAGAATATTTATCCACAGCATGAAGAGGATGATATCAAAGAAAGCGTTTTTCTCATCTCGGATAAAGATACTGAAATGCGGGACGTTATGGAGGCAGGTATCGACTTCGATGAAAGACTCTACTCAGTTTCAGACTACACCCGGATTTTTCTAAAGAAAGAGGCAAGCAATATATACTCAGAACTCACAGAAACAGAATCAAAAATGGTTCCTAATTATACGATGTTTCACACGTTTACACAACGCGTATCCAAAATAATTTTCGATGAAAGTTTTCCTAAAGACGATCGTCTATTAATTAAGGATGTGAGCAATGATCCAAAAATAATTTTGCTATGGAGAGGTTCTAAATACAAAAGCCTGGAAATAAATGTCGATTTTGTTCCAGCTGTGCGCTTACCTTCTTGGCCAAACAAACTGCGAATAAATTCAGAAATCTTTGGTCAAGATTTATTGCAGTTGCCTTGTCTTGCTGTTCCTAAAATGACAAGTCAAGAAAACGAAAAGCTTTGGAGGTGTTCATTGTCGTTAGTGGAAACGGCAATAATGAAAAAATGTCGTCCACATATACGAAATAGTTACATCGCTGCCAAGTCTTTGATCAGTTCAACCGTTTGTCCCCTTGTTAGCTTTGATGACTATGAAGAAGCAAAAGATGTATACCGAAGTCGCCATGACAGCTTGTCATCTGAAGAAGAGTTCGAACTTTATGAAGAACTGGGAGACATGTTCCCATCATATATATTAAAAATGGCGTTCCTCCATGTCATAGAAGAAAAGGCAGTCAAGGATGGTGTCAAAACTGTCTTTGAGGAGGTTCTGTATAAGAGAGACCCAATCGATAAACTTATATTGACATCAGAGTCCACTGCAAATATTTCTAAATCTTCTGACTGCAAAGAATGTGATCCAAATATTGTGAAAGGAATTTTCCAAAAATGTAATGGATGGCTTTCGGATCAGTTTGTTCCCTCTTTCTTCAATCCCAGACACAATGTTTTGGGTTCAAGAATGCTGGATGAAGACAGTGTCAAAGTGCAACAATTCATTAAATTCATACTCAAACTTTTGGATGAAAACTGAACGCACAAAGCATTTAAAAATATGTGGCAGATGCTATTTCACGTTTTATCAACACATGATATTAAGTTCATTGCTGTTTCATAAGAATTATTTTTTTAAACATTAATCATGTTAATAGGTCATCAATGTTAAAAATATAATTATTATTATTAAGTGAAGATAAAACCAGTGCGTCAAATTGAAGGACAAATTTATAAAACACATTTTGTAACTGATATTTGCTAAAGTTTTTTCTCTGGGAAAAAGAACACGTTTAGTTATAATACAATACTATTTCTTGATGATGGTACATAAATTGAAGTATTGTTTTTCTGCTTAAGATTTCAAATTTCAAGTTTGCTCAGGGGTGATCTTACCATGTAATGTTTTAAAAGTATTGCATAAATGATAACACTTGTGTTCACAAAGGAAACGAAAACGCCATTTAACTTCTGTTAAAATGAAGAAGGATAACCATAATAAAACGTGATTGGTCTTATAAAAAAAACTTTGAACAAGAGTTTGTATCAGGTGTATAGGAGGTTTAATTATGCAAACGCTTACCTCGAAACGAGACGTTTCCTCCAAAATAGACCTGACTTTCACTTCTTATAATGGGGAAATACACACCACTACAAATGTCATAAATAAAACTAAGGTTACAGTATTCTCCGGAATTTTATTATCATACACAATGATTTTTGTTTGGTTGTGATGTTTTTTTTTCTACGAAAAGATCACTCCTCCAATGCTGTGTTTATCCGATACAAATTAAATCTTGTACAAGGACATAAATTTTTTTTTTTTTTTAAATTATAGTTAACAATACTAAAAGTATAACCCACGTTAATGTTAGCAATTTTAAACAATTTATAAACGAACATCTTCATTTGGTTATTCAAATGAAAAATATATTTTTTTCAGAAACTTTTTTTAATAGTAGAAACAGTGAGTGCGATAATGCTTATTTAATGTATTAGATTTTGAGAACAAAGTGTCTTCTTAAACATGACTGCATTCTTTTCATTCACTTGTAATACCCATAAATCAACGTTTCATACATACTTAACGATTTTTTGGACAAGGAGAAGTTCTTTATATATCTTTAGTAAGATACACCTTTATAAATATTTCTTTGGTGAAGGTATAGGTATCAACCGCAAATGGCGCTATTCATATACTATTCTTTGTCAAGTAAAAAGACAAATTGAAGACTTGAACAGTCGGAGCCTTTTGAAGCATTTTTGGAAAATAGAAATGGCCATAATGGGTTTAGAAACAAACAACAAGGAAAATGAAGAGCCTGGAGACCATACCAAAGAAAAGAAAGAAACAGACATGAAGAGGGACACTTCGGATGGGCAGGTAGAGAAATGTTTCTCAGCAAAAGTGTTATTTATTACAATAATATTAAAGAAGACAGTCATTTGTTTGTTTAAATTATGTTATTTATAATATACGGGCTGTTTTTTTTACTTAATGATGAAAACTAAGCTGATTGATTTATTAGTTCTTCATTGTCAAATTTGTCACAGGGTATCCTTGGCCCAAGGGCTACCATTTATACTAAAACTAGGGGTGGGACCTTAAAACAAGGGGAGATAATCAGGAAAATAAAATCAAAAGTACTGGTTACTAAAAAATCTTCTTCTCCAGAACCACCAGGCAGATTTTCACCAAACTTACATACAAGGGTGCCGGGTACTTATTGGTTTAGAATCATCAAACTTTTTTGATTGAAGCATCTTGGGTTTTCGGGGAATGGTGGTCTACTTGTGACACTTATGGCTATATTTAAGAGTTTTAGAATACTCATTGGCTTAGAATTGTCAAACTTTGTCAGTTGATGCACCTTGGGTTCTCAGAGAATGTTGATTTAATAAGTTGGTCACTGTGACCCACTTTTGAATATCTCAAGTACTTATTGGCTTAGGATCATCAATCTTTGTCAATTAATGCATCTTCGTCCTTAGAAAATTTCAATCAAAAAGTAGGTCACCATGACCTATTTATAGTATTTTAGAATTACATTTAAATATATTCAGTCCTAACTGGCTAAGAATCATCAAACTTTGTCAGTTGATGCATCTTGGGTCTTAGTATATATTGTATAATTTATCAGAAGAGCCATTCAAGGCCCTTGGGCCTCATGTTATCTTTCGATGATTTGATTCAGCTGATTAAAGCGCACCTAATTATTTTCAATATTCGTTATGTTTATAAAAAACAATGACATTAATGAAATTGATTTTAAAAAATACAGATATGTATCTGATTATATTCCTAAAACAAAATTGACATTGTTTTGCAGCGAACAGACTCTACAAAAATTTACATCTTATGTCTCTAAATTCATTGAACACTGTTATATTCATAAATAATTTTTACCTACATGTGTCAGAGAAAGGATGCAATTGATCGAGTGGATGAAGCTCCAGAAGCTTCCATTAGTGGCGTGATATTAAAAGTCACAGATCTGGTCCGCGGAGAAGACGAAGCAATATGGTCGGTCGAGCAGAAAATCTAGAAGCTGCGGTAAAATAGACGATTAATTCTCTAAAGTGTCCTTCAATGGAATGACACTCCTCAAACAGTTTTGATTTAATTTTAAATTTAACTATAATTTTGTAAAAGAAAAGACATTACAAAAGATAGTTATTTGAAAATCTCCTAGGAAAAGTTTTGAAGATATGTTCAAAATATATTATTTTTTACGTTGCAGGAAGCGCAAAACAATATAAAATGTTTTGATATTTTATTTAGAGAATCAAATCATAATCATTCACAATAATGTCCAATGTGTATACTTTTTTTCAAGATATACTTTTCCTGGGTAAATTTGGTAAAAAAGGGTCATTTTTTGCAAATTATAAATCCTGTTTTAAAATTGTCTTAAAAGAGGATCATCTGGGGTGGGGGAGAGAATTTTCCACTATCAAAAGGTCATGTTACTCATATTAAAGCAAATGTGGGGTAAATTTTTTTCTTTCGCATGAACAATACATTTCTTACAATTCGTCATTTCATGGTACCGAAAGTTTGAATGTACTAAGATGAGGGTGGTAACCCAAAGGTCTCTTGTTAAAACAATTTGTTTGTCACATTGATACCCTAATTTTGATATTTGGAGTTTACTGTTTCAGACTGCTCGACAGTTTAGTACAGTGAATCAGGAGACACAACCAAGGGGAAACTGTACAAATAGACTCAACAGAAGAACATTTATAATTGTCATTGCCATAGTTTCTGTTTTACTATTAATTGTAATTGTAGTCATTGTACTGTTCACTTTGAAAGTTATTTAAGGAACAAACTTTAGAGCTACCCACCTTAAACTCTATAATCTGGTTTGTACTTTATTGATTGCATAGCGACTCATAAAAATAAAATTTTCTCGGCATGGGAACTTTAGAAATTACTCTTATTATATGAATAACCCGCTTGATACACATATACATGTACTTATGTTTTGTTATATGTTATTTTTCAGACATTCGGATGGTGCGTTACAAGCACTGTCAAATTATATGTATAAAAGAATAAAGTATAAACGTATTAAATATATATTTGGTATTTCCTTTGAGTCCTTTTCGTAGCTTTGGTGTAGACTAGACCTTCTTAAGTTTCATACTTGTGTATTTTCTATTCATTGTAATTAGAGCTAAATGCTCACCCACCTGATGAATTTGTGCCTGCATTTGTAATTAAGAGATCAAGAAAGTTTTTAATTTTTTTTCGACTAATACTAAAAATATATGACTATGTTATTATTTCTTATAAATCAAAATCCTTTCTTTTAATTACAATTAATTACTTTTACTGATTATATAGTTAAAGTAATGCTAGAATGAACATCTTGCACTGGAATTATGTTTCAGACCGAATTACCATTTTCTACTCTGAAAAAATATTTCTGTAACCAAATTACATTTGCATTACAATGGAAACGGATTGTAACCGTTATTTATTTAGAAATCGCTTAATCTTTTTGTCGTTATATTAGGGCCACCGTGTTCGACCTCTTCAGAAAGAAGAAACCCACACGCAATTTCTTTTTTACTTGTACCACTTGCACGATATTGCATAAAAGATAAACTTATCTTTAGGTCGATAGTCATATGCATTAATATTCTATCAGACTTCCTAGCGTTTCGGGAGTTAAAAAATTTAGCGTCGTTGCAATTTTGAAATTTGGAGAACAAAATTTTTCTTGTAATCAAACGGCAATAATTTGTCTATATCTAGCAGCATGTCGACCTTGACTTACAATGTACAGTTACTGATTTTAAATTATCTGTGGCCCTTTTCACAAAAAATCTAACGATTAAGATAAAACATAAACATTTCCGTAATTTTTGTTTAATAAATATATTTTTTCTCCAATGTTTTACTAAGTAACTTAGTTGAATAGATGTATGGTTGTCGTCGGTACCAATGCAGTTCATGGAAACCAAATAGTATTTTAAAATAATTCATTTTTTGCCAAGCAATTTCAGAAATAATTTTAGCGCCATATTTAGTACATGTACATGTAGTACAGAAAACGAATGCAAATTAAAATCAAACTCGTCTATTGTGTTTGCATCATTTATCAAAACGAAGACAAAAAGACTTCCTTAAAGAAAAGGGTTTTTAACGATTTTGAAAAAGGTCCTTAAAAAATTAACTAGACTGCATGAATGTTAAAAACATTTATTGAATTCAATTTAGTTTACACATTAATTAAGGAATTATTTAAAATACAGCTCAACAAACTTTTTAAGCTCACATGGTTTTTTGCACAAATTAAGGTCACATTGTTATAATGTAATATTGTAAGTTGAGACGTCAAAATACATTTTAAAAGTATTTGTTTACATTATTTGAGTTTTATTTCATTTACTAAAACATAATTCATACAAATCAATTGCTAGAACTTTAATATATTTTCGGCTGGAAAATAACAATTATTTCCATTTGATTTTTTGTAGTTTCTTGCCAATTGTAGCTGTACAGCTACTGTAACTTGTATTTTCTGTTCATTCTGACTCTTTAGCGCAGGGTGAAAATAGTATTTTTCATCTGTTTGACTGCTTTGTATGTTAATAAGGTAGCATTTTCAGAATCACCTTCAAAAAATCTATAATCATGAAAGATTCGTCCCACAGCAAAATTTTAACGTTTCAAACCGTAAAGGCAGAAGAATTTTCTTTTTCAACGAAAAATATTACTATTAATAAAAAAATACTTCATTATCCTACCCTGTAGTATGGTTTCTCTCTGCAATGTTATCCCAATTCGGTGCTACATTTCGACAAAACCCAGATGAGTATAATAAATGAGCAAAGAATTTTTTAAAATACTCACCTGTAAGAAGAAAATTTAAAATTTTCAACTACATTGTATCAAACAAAGCACGTTTTATATTATTTGTAAAAAAAAAACTATGGTAGAGGCCTATAGTAGAAACATCGTACCATTTATTGATAAATTCCCCTTTAAAACATCCACTTTGAAAATTTAAGATAATAATTTAAAGGACATTTATACTTGACATTATATATGTAATATAACGTAGGGCTGTGTCATCGTTCTGAGCTTCGAAAATAGTAATTTCTATTACAAAAATGTGATCTTAATTTGTGCGAAAAACCATGTGAGCTTAAAAAGTTTGTTGAGCTGTAGTCTTTACACCAAACGTCCTATGCAACATTTTTCAAATCAAACGACATCTTGGAAATGATACAGGTTTATTAGAGCTTTAGTGTTATTCTAATAATAGCTAACTTTTGGCATGGTTGTGATCTGATCGATGCTTTTCAAATATTTCTGTATGTATCATGAAATAATTTGTATATGCTTTTGCAAACCTGTGTGTTTGGCCTTTGTTTGGTTTTTGATTTTATTGTTGTTGAATTTGCTGTGCTGTGTATCTGATAATAAATGCTTTGTTGTAATTTTTAATAAAAAAACACGTTCTTTTGCAACATACTTTGCAAATGACTTGTCATGCATAACATGTTGTTGTATATTTTATTTTAAATAAAAATAGTTCTTAAAATAAATTTGATTATTTATCATTTCCTTATTTTTCTTTTACTATTCCTTGTTTTTCATTTGATCATCATTACCATTTTTCTAGTCCTCCTTTTTAACAAACATTTCTTCCCAGTTCTCAGTATGAATATCATCATTTGTAGCTAATTTTTCTCTCATTTGTGTTACACGTTTTTATATGTGTTATAAACACTACATTTATACAGCTGTACCTGTTATTTACTTACAATCATACATACCTTCAACCTCTTCTTATACAATGTAGATCTTACACATTAAAACGGCTTATAAACCTTTTACAGTTTCCGGATTAGAAGAGATTTTTTTAAAGAAGAAACTTTTAATTTTTGGGCTAAAATGAACGAATAAAAATTTGATTATTAAGACCATCACTAAATATCAATGAAGAAAATGGATTTAGTTTTATCTTATTTTTTCTGTTGTAAAAAGAGGCAAATAATTAAAATATTATACTTGAGATCCATACCTATCAACCCCATCAAACATTGCTGCTTGGAACATCTAGCATATACCATCATACATGCATATATTCTGATCAGTGAGGATATGTGATGCTGAACACCGATATGCATCAGTGCGGAAAACCAAAAAAGACATCGTAAAATTCAGGTTAAGCTTTGTTGTTTTTGTCGAGAACATTGTCAAGCTTTTAATTAACACAGAAAAACTCGACACCATTAACAATAGATGCTACAATTGAAAGCTTTTCAAGATACATAATAAGTTCAAAAGAAGAACTGAAAGAGACCGAAAACTTTTAATGAATATCGTAGCAACTTTATTGCAAGTACCCAAGAAGAATTGTATTCAACGAGTCTTATGCCAGGAAAATTTGTAATTCTGTTGAAAAAAGTGCAATAAACATTTCAATTAATTAAAATGCCTTTGTACAATGTAGGACATGAAGACAACGAACAGCACTCAATATCAAAGTCCATAAAACAGTACAAAACAGGACGAAGCAAACACAGACCTCTAAAGTATCAGAAGTGGGATCAGATGCCATGGACGAGTGAGCATCCCCTGATGACCGGTCACAAACGCCGTGCGCTCGGGAAATAACGGGAAAATCCGTCCTCAATTCAGGGTATAAATAATGGCCTTACGATAAGTATGAAAAACGTCAGTTAACATTTTGACTCAAGGATAAATTGTATTTCCTGACAAGGTAATTGTATCGACTAAAGAATTTAGAAATGAAGAATTTAAACGAGACTGCTGATATTTTGTTTGTCAAAATAATTTACCTCGTTTTAGAAATTGTTCATACGTAGAGCATGCTCTCACGTATCGAATCAACTGAGATATATAAACTCCGATCCGTTATGCAGGTGATGAAGGTACACAGTATAAAGCTGCATCAGTAAACGAAGTTGAACGATGTAAAAGTTAAAGTCATCACGTTTATCATAAAGTTTGGTTGATAGATTACCATTAACGTCTTTTTCACGTAAAATATCCAAGTATGAAGCAGATCGAAGTGTCGGACTCTGTGTTATCTCTTATCTCAAGCTCACCAGTATATAGTCGCGTCGACATAGGAATAGAAATTACTATTGCAATTACTATTTCAAGTGATCCAAAACTTTAGTGCACAATTTATCGTGTTGGAAGTTATATTTAGAGAGTGAGAGGACCAAAAGGTGATATCTGCTAATAATAGAGAGGTTAATTTAGTTACAAGTGATCAACGTACGTAACAACGTGTTCGCAAAACTTTGACGTCAACAGAAAAGTTTTCCCGTACAAGTTCTTAAATAATGGACAAATTTCAGACTACACATTATAGAAATTTACATTAAGAAAAATAACCATCATTCATACTTAAAAGATGACGGAGATATTTAGTTTGTTCGTTCTTTCCTCCGCGATTACATTAAGTGGGAAATCCTCCGGATCCACAGATGTCAAGCTCTAAACCAGCTGTATATATTCTTTGTCTTGTGTTATCGTGTGAGTAATTAATTCAACATGAATGTGTAAATTCAATTACGAAATACATTTTTAAGAAAATGCATGTACGTTTGTGACCTAAATTGTAACTATAACTGTAAAATGGAAGAGACCTACGTCAGCTGTAATGTATCTATTAGAATTGTTGTTTATTTTCATGAATAAACCACTTTCATTGGTGATTCAGCGTTGATCATAAACACCTTTTTTCCAAAAGCTTTTTCACCATCTATATACATTGTCAAGAAAATTATTACTTATATTTTTCATCGGTAATTTTAAAGTTTGTGTTGACCACACGCACTGGCCTTGATAAGAATGAAGTAGTTTTACCAAATTAATGGCTTTAGCTGCTCGCTGAGTTATTTTTAGAAGGCGGTATAAGTGTCCCGTGCTACTCCGGAATTTCTATAACACGTTCACATTGTACTTGTGCACAAATATAAACTGGCCACGGAAATACTTTAGCTTTAAAGACAGATAATGCTTTCCTAGTTTAGAATACCCCCCCCCCAAAAAAAAAAAAAATTGGGATATTGAGATATTCTGCTTTTGAATATACATGTACTATATAATCCTATTAGAAATCAATAGAAATTTTGAAAAAAAAATTGGCATGTACATGTATACTTGTATGTTATAGACATTATAAAATATTAGATATAAAAATATAACAATAATCTTTATCAAGTTTCCTGAGTTTCCTGTCAGTTTTACAAAAGAACCTAAGATTAACAAAAAGATCAAATGAAATACGTTAAATTAATATTTAAAAATTGTACGCAAGTTATCCAAGTATTAACTTTTGGTAAAACATCTCATTAGCCAAAAATCACAGATTTTTATACTCAAAATTTGAATAGAAAATGAATTATTTAATTAATTGTTAGCAAAAATAAGCATCTTAAGGACAGATGACACGTACCTCAATAACATAGAATTTTTTCAAAGATTTTCATTTTTTGTAATTGAAGTATTGCTACTTTGATATGTTTACTCTATTGAGATACCTTACCAGGTATTTGTTCAAGATAGCAGGTGTCTCATATAATCCTTTTGTGAAAAACTAAATTTTCCAAAATTAAATCATTTATTGTTTCATTTGTTAAAGACAATCAGAAACTTTTTGAGAAATCAGAATGTAAAAAAAAATTTGAATATTTTAATGCATACCCGGTATAAAAATATACAAAACATACATTTCAGGAACGTATCGTCTGACCTCATTATTTCAATGTTAAGCATAAATGCATGTTTTCCATAACGAGACGATGATAGAAGCGACAATTTTCGATCATCAACTATACATTGTACTTTCTGATAGCCTAAGATAACCGAGATTATTTTGTTCATGATAAATACCAACAAAGGAATTTAATGCGAACAGTTAAACATAAAACTAAAGTTTACCTTCTACGTAAATGTATGAATTGTTCTTACTTGTGTTCGTTTTCTATCTTCAGAGTATGGAAAATAACAGCGATAAGGGAGATTTCGAGAAAACCCTTGCAAATTTTATGAAACACAAGTTAAATGAAATACCCGAATCCCCCATAATCCATCAGCTAGTTAGATCTAGAAATGAGGAGAAACTTCTAGAATATATCACAGGCGGATGTGACGTCAATATACAGAATCATGACGGATCAACGGCTCTTTATGTTGCCGTAGATGAAGGAAATGATAGAGCAGTAGAAATTCTTGTGCAAAATGGAGCTGTTATCAACACAAAGAAGAATCCGATGCATGCCATTAAAAATGTGGCCATTGCACATTTACTGCTTCAGTCCAAAGGTGACGTCCATGCAAGAGATGAATATGGAAATACTCCATTGCAATTTGTGATAAAATCATATTCACGTGAAAAAGAAAATTTGGTTGAGTTGCTTTTGTCTCATGGTGCAGATATACACAGTAGAAATGCTAGTGGCCAAACAATACTGCACGTTCTATGTTCGTGCTTTGTAAAAGAACCAGAAAGTTCGATACTGACTCAAAAGCTGATCGAGATAGGCGCATGTGTAAATTCCAAAGATTCTCACAACAGATCACCATTACACTTAGCTGTCATAAATCAGTACTCGTATAAGTACAAAACTATCAATATCTTGAGAAATTATGGAGCTTCGCTCTCAGACTTAGATTTGCAAGGACTTAATCCCATACACCACTTCATTGACGAATCGGGAGGATGTTCATACGACGAAGAAGACATATCGATGAAATTCATCGACTCTTTCCTTGTTGATGAGCACACTGCAAGTTTGCGCACCACAAAGGGACAGACCATTTTGCATCTTGCCATCCAAGAAGTCCCGCTGGAAATTCTCAAGTACCTCGTGAAAAAAGGATGTCAACTCCATGTTAAAGATAATCAAAAACAATGTCTTCTGCATTACCTTCTCGAAAGAGTGGAATGCGCAGATATATTAGATTACCTAGTTGGTAGGGGACTTGATGTGAATGGTCGTAATGTTTGGGGACAAACAGTTTTGCATCTTGCTGTTGAGGAAGGTAATACAGAACTTATAAAAGGTCTTGTTCAACATGGGGCTGACTTACATGCGAAGGATTTAAGTGCAAAGCAACCCTTACATGTCGCTGCCGAAAACGGATGGGATCAAATAGTTGATTTCCTTATAAAGGAGGGAGCAGATATTAATTCACTTGACAAATACCAATCCACCCCTCTTCATTTTGCTGCTTGGAATAATCAGTCAACGATTGCATTAACCCTGATTAAAGCTGGTTGTGATGTTGATCTCCGAGATAGCTGTGGACAAACTGCGTATGATGTCGCAGAGTTTAGATCAAATTTTGATTTTCTGCAGTTTTATCAAAAACACTACCGTCTTCAAAATTTAAAACAAATAAGCAAGTTTTCAAAACATGCTAATGAATATATGACATTGGAAACGTTTGAAGGCATCATAGAATCAAAGGAAAAACTGGAAGACACAGAAAATGTAAAGGAGTTTCTAAACAACTTAATAAGATTATCCCCCACTGGAATTGTATACGATGATCCTGAAGCTGCTGAAATTCGGGATGCCATTGAACATTTTACCCAATACATTGCAAAGTGTCTGTCTGAAAGTGATCCAAAATGGAAATGCACTGTTCATTATGCAGGAAGTTCTTACGAAGGGACAAAAACACTTTATCCAGACGAATTTGATTTCATCTTTTGTTTTGATGAACTTAGTGAAAATACATTTTCACAATTTGAAGAGGAGGATGTTGAGGAAAGAGTTCATCTTATTTTTGAAGGAGGTGCTGAGATCGAGGAAACATGCCCATCTGTTTCGGATTATACCCGCATTTTTCTGTCAAAGCATACAAATCACTCATACTCGGAACTCATCGAGAAAGAATCGATGATGATCACAACTGATGCGATGCTGGAAGTTTTTACGCAAATAGTAACCAACATAGTGTACAGGGAAAACTTCCCCAAGAATGACCGACTCATAATAAAAGACGTTAGATTTGACCCAAAAGTAGTTTTTCAATGGCAAGGTTCTAGGTATAAAAGTCTGGAAATAAATGTGGATTTTGTTCCAGCGGTGCGTCTACAATCCTGGTCAAACAAAACGAGAATCAGCTCAGAACTCTTCAGCTCTGATTTGATGCGTCTGCCTTGCCTTGCTGTTCCAAAAAAGACAAGTGAAGAAGATGACAACCTTTGGAGGTGCTCTTTGTCGCTTGTGGAAACAGCACTGATGAAAAGATGTCTTCCACATATCAGAAATAGCTACATCGCTGCAAAGTCCTTGACCAATTCAGCTGTTTGTCCCGCTGTTTGCTTTGGTGACAACAAGACAGCCAAGGATTATTATTACAAGCACCACCCTGACTATGTATCGTCTGAAGATGATTTTGAAGTGGTTGACAGTATGCAGTGTTTTCCCATCATACATCCTAAAGATGGCGTTTTTTGACGTCATAGAAGAAAGGGCACTCCGTGATGGTGTAGAAACTGTGATCAATAAATGTTCATCTGAGAGAGACATGTTAGAACAACTCGTTCTTAGAGCAGACACTTCTTCGGAACCCATCACTTTAACATGCAAGGAATGTGATCACACTGTGGTACAGGATGTTTTCAAGAAGTGTGATGGATGGCTTTCTAATCGATTCGTTCCTTCTTTCTTTAATCCCCGACAGAATGTTATGGGTTCCAAAATCCTAAAGGAAAACGGATTCAAAGCGCAATGTTATTTGAAATACATACTTAAAATTCTACACGAAAGTTAAATTGATCATGATGCAATTTACTTGTTTTGTAATGGTTCAAAATAAATATTTACACACATACATAAAGTATTTAATTTGTATCCTACCTGCAAAATAAAGCAAAGAATTCGAAGATACGTTTAATTGTTAGATGGGCTTAAATATGATTCGTGTGTATGTTTTTCTGGTACGTGTTGCCAATAAGACACTTCGCTCCTAGAGCTCTGCTAGTCCGCTTTCTGGTGGCTAGCTGTACACAGGTCCTAAGAGTACAGACTTGTGTTTTACTATGTTTATGGTGGTAATACAGACCTGCGCTGAATTTACAAAATTTAGATGGAATTGTAGTTGTATTGAGAGTTCTAGAAAATCGAGTGTTAAGAGGGCTAGATCGTCGTGACCTTTTCCGGACTATACGTATTGATCTCCTTCAGAAGAAGAGCCCCATATAAAAATATCGACAGTCTAAGATATAATATCTTTTATAAAAAATTAAGTTATATCTTATGGTGAATGTGTTGTATCCCCAGCCTCCTTAAGTTAGTATCAATGGAGAAGGCGCATGTGAAATCTACATTTAAGAAACGAACTCTCATTAGTAACACGCTCATTTAAAAGTTTGCATTTCCATTTATACTTACATACTTTGTAGGCAATGAAGGACAATATGTTGTTAAAATGAAATTACTATTGTTATACAGTATTGGTATCCTGGAAAACCAATGGCAATAATTTTTCATGACACGTGATTCTATATCTTAAAGCAATATTTTACTCCAATTAAAGGTGTTACTACACAGAAATCAAACGTAATATGCTTAATTTATGTCTTTTTCTTCATTAAAATTCGAACAGTCATGCAGTTTATACTTTGGTCTTTTTCCCTATTTACTTACATATACGTTTTACAAGTCAATAAGTTATCATAATGTAGTAATATGTTCCCTTGACAGCTGCGCCCTGCTTAACGGTTGCACCGTCTAACATAAGTATACATGTATACAATGTATATGGAAAAAATCTCTAAAAATCTTATTCTCAAGATAAGCAAAGCCTTGCATTGTACAGTCTTTTTGAAATGGAAGCGCCCTCAGGTGGTGTAAATCACTGGCGGATTTCAGGGGGCGTGGGGGCGCACCCCCCCCCCCCCAGATCCCCCTAAAATTTTCAAAGTATAATATGACCAATATTAATAATGCCACAATTTGGTATATAACTAACCAAAACCACTGTTATTGTCAATATTGTGCCTGGTTTTACTCTTTTTTTTAAAAAAATACATGAAACCCCAGGAGCTTCCGAGGGCTTTGCCCCCTGGGCCACCACCATTCAAAGTATGAATAATGCCACATTTTGGTATATAACTAACCAAAACCAGTGTTATTGTGCCTGGTTTTACTCTTTTTTATACACTCAAAACCAGGAGGCTCCGTTGGCTTCGCCTCCTGGGCCCCCACCATTGAAAGTATGATATGACTTAGTATCAACTATGTTAATGCCGTACTTTGTACATAACTAACTAATACCACTATTAGTGAGTAATAAGTAAGTTGTTTATTATAGTGGCATGTCACTTGTGTTATAATACAAGAGAAACATTCAATACTATTCAAACACCCGGATCGACCTATATATCACTTTTAATAGAATTGAATAATTGAAAAATATGCACTATTATTGTGCCTGGTTTTACTCTTAAAATACAAGAAAATTCAGGAGCTTCCGAATGGGGGCCTTAAGGTGGCTTCCAGACCCCTTGTGAGCTTCAACAAAGCCCCCCCCCCCCTTTCACAAATCCTGTATCCGTGCCATTATTAAAAAAAAACCAAAACTGGGGGTACGGATGGGCCACAATGGGCATGATGGAGGATCAATTTTTTACAAAGGAATTCGTATGGAGAAATCTCTATTTGGAAACATACGCAGGAAGTTTAAAATTCATTCCCCCATCCTCTGTAAACTTTCAATTATTTAGGTCTTTCCACCTTTCTGTGGAAAGACCTATTGATTTCCTTCTGTTTCTTTTTTTCCTTTTTATTAGGTCTTTCCACCTTTCTGTGGAAAGACCTATTGATTTTCTTCTGTTTCTTTTTTTTATTATTAGGTCTTTCCACCTTTCTGTGGAAAGACCTATTGATTTCCTTCTGTTTCTTTTTTTCCTTTTTATTATTATTTTTTATTATTTTTCCGCCGTGTGATTTTGAGTTTCAAGATTTATCGTAAAGATTTTAAGTTCATAAGAATGTACTCCGTAAGAGATTTTCGCAGTTGACCCTGCGTATATGAACTATGACCCCTTTCGGACATATTACCCCTTTCGCAAAAAAGCTTGTTATCACTACTCCTCCGAAACCGTAAACCGTAGAAATATGAAACCTTCACTTATGTCTTTGACTAATTTAGTAGACACTTCATTGATTCATTGCCAAAGTATTCATTGACCCCTTCAATAAGTTATTGCCCCTGGAAGTTTTAGAATTTTACAAATCATTAAAAATTTTCAAAACGAGAAAACGTAGAGACATGGGACCAACTTCATAAGATTCATTGACCTTTGGTCTTGAAATTTATGGAAAGGTCAAAGGTCAAGGTCATTCCAAAACTGAGAAATTTAGCTCTTTTTATATCTCTTTTGTCTTTGAACATATACTTAATGTCTATGCATCATTAATATGTACTCTTCAAACTGTTTCAAAGATTTCATTCTTGTCCCCTTAGATTAACTTCTTTAAAAGTTATTGCCCCTTGTGCGAAAAACCTTGTTATCGCTACTCCTTCGAAACCATAGACAGTAGAGACATCAAAACTTCACTAATGTCTTAAGGGTCTTTAGGCCTAACTTCACTTTATAAGTGCAAAAGGATCTGATGACCCCTTATATGAGTTATTGCCCTTTAACTTCTTTGTAGTTACTATTAAACCTTATAACTTGAAAACTATAAGTAGTAGAAGCATGGGGTCAATTGCATTGTGACCCTTGACCTTTGACCTTGAATATTTTTTTCAAGGTCAAAGGTCAAGGTCATTCATTTTTTTTATTTTCATTTTTTCTATGCCTTAAAGAGAGTTTTGGTTTCTTTTTCATGAACTTTAATTTTTAGGAGTCAGATATAAAACAAAGTTCAAAGAAGGTGGAAAGACCTCTTATTGTTCTGTGAACAATAAGTCTCCTAGTTTTTTTTATTAGGTCTTTCCACCTTTCTGTGGAAAGACCTATTGATTTCCTTCTGTTTCTTCTTTTCCTTTTTTATTATTTTTCCGCCGTGTGATTTTTTGTTTCAAGATTTATCGAAAAGATTTATAGTATATAAGAATGTACTTCGTAAAAGATGTTTGCAGTTGACCCTGCGTAAATGAACCTTGACCGCTTTCAAAGTTATTGCCCCTTTCACAAGAAATGCTTGTTATCGCTACTCCTCAGAAACCGTAAACCGCAGAGGTATGAAACCTTTACGAATGTCTTCGACTAATTTTGGGGACTCTTCAATCTATTCATTGTGAAAGTATTCGGTGACCCCTTCAATGAGTTATTGCCCCTGAAACTTTTTGAATTTTACAAATAATTAAAAATTTTCAGAACGAGAAGTGATAGAGACATTGGACCAACTGCATTAGATTTATTGACCTTTGATCATGAAATTAATGCAAAGGTCAAAGGTCAAGGTCATTCCAAAATTGAGGAATTAAGCTCTTTTTATATCTTTTTTGTCTCTTAACATATACAAACTGTCTTAACATAAATAATATGTACTCTTAAAACTATTCAAAAGATTTTATTCGTATTCCGTAAGACTGACCCAATTAAAAGTAATCGCCCTTTTTGCAAAAAACCTTGTTATCGCTACTACTTCGAATCCGTAAACCGTACAAATATGAAACCTTCACTAAAGTCTTCGACTAATTGAGAGGACTCTGGAATCTATTCATTGCAAAAGTCTTCGGTGACTCCTTCCATGAGTAATTGCCCCTGAAAGTTTTAAAGTTTACAAGAAAAATTAAAAACTTTTAAATGACAAGTGGTAAAGTTATAGGACCAAGTGCATAAGATCTTATGACCTTTGACCTTGAAAAGTAGGTCAAGGTCAAAGGTCAAGGTCATTGAAAAATTAGGGAAATTGTCAATTTAAGCTTAATATCCAAATGACCTTGACCTTTGACCTTGATATTTGACATTGACCTTGACCTCTGACCTTGACTCTTACTCAAAAGGTCATAAAGAAATATTCATTACCTTTATCTAGATTAAGACCAAGTGTTAATCTCAAGTTTACCTCTCTCTTTTTTTTTTTTGATGACCTTGACCTTTGACCTTGATAAATGACCTTGACCCTTGACCCCATTGACCTTAAGGTCACAATCAAGCTAAAGGTCGTGGAGGTATTTACAACCATCACTCTAACAAATGCTTATAAAATCACCCCCCCCCCCCTTAAAATAAAATCAACACCAACTTAGAGAAAATGTCTACAAGTCAAACGAAACGAAACATCGACATAAGATTCGTAATAAAAGGAAGAAGAGACCTGAAAAAAAGTGTCCTGAGAGTTTTAAGGTGAGTCTCTAAAGTATAATGACATTCTAGTGAATATCGGCAAAATCTGCATTTTTTTGTTCTGTCTGAAATTAAGTTATTGCTGAACATAAAAATTAATTAAAGCTCGTATTGGCTATTTCTGCAATTATTGTTAAAATCATTCGATTCTCCTGCTCTATTACGACATTTTAATACCAAGTATTCTTGCTTTCTTAGGTGTATGGAATTTATTTTAATTTTATTTAGATTTAAATATGAATCGGCTGAAACTCGGAAATAGCGATTTTTCATATAAAATAATTTTGCACGCTCTCCGTGACACCGTCTTCTTCATGAAATGCATGTTTCAAGTTTAATTTATGCTCATAACTATTCATTCAATCCAAATAGAGATGATTATTTAATCTAACCTCTGAGTTCGCCATTTCTGTCAAAACGAACGCGCCTATATTTTCACAAATTGTAAACACAGTGCCGACACGAAAGTTCGAATGTATCATAAGCTCTGTATGATTAACTCAATCTATTCAAACTATAAACAAACTCAAATGTTTTTTTTCATAGGAAATCTCCATTTTCATTATCCACCAATCGTCTCTCAGAACTATTCATTATTCCTCTCTATGTTCCATCACAAACAAATAAATACACGTGTTTCTGTACTATTTTTATTTAAATCCACGTGCTTTTATTTCTTCCTTTTTCTACACTATTAGTTTACGGAAAACAATTTCATCGGAGCGCCTGTGGCGTAGTGTATAGAGCGCTCGCCTGGCAATCTGAGGTCCACAGTTCGAATCCTGCTGGCAGCACTTTTTAATTTTTTTTTTTTTAATTTTTTTTTTTTTTGGATTCAAATGACAAGGAAACACTTAGAAAGGTGGAAAGGACCTCTAATTGTTCTCTGAACAATTAGTCTACTAGTTAGGTCTTTCCACCTTTCTGTGGAAAGACCTATTGAAATGCTTATGTTTTTTATTCTTTTTCTGCCGGACTTTTGAAACCGCAAGACGTATCGGAAAACCTTATAGTTCATGATATTGGATATTTAAAGTTATTCCGAAAAACGACCCAAGAAGTTTGAACTTTGACCCCTTTCGAAGTTATAGCCCTTTACGCAAGAAATGCTTGTTATCGCTACTCCTCCGAAACCGTAAACCGTATAGGTATGAAACCTTCACCAATGTCTTTGACTACTTGAGAGGATCTTTCAATCTATTCATTGCGAAGGATCCATCTACCCCTAATATGAGTTATTGCCCCTGAAAGTTTTTGAATTTTATGAATAAATGAAAATTTTCAAAACGAGAAGTCGTAGAGACATGGGACCAACTGCATAAGATTCACTGACCTTTGACCTTAAAATTTATGTAAAGGTCAAAGGTCAAGGTCATTCCAAAAATGAGAAATTAAGCTATTATAATCTCTTTCAACTTATATTATCTGTCTGTGCATCATTAAAATGCACTTTTAAAACTATTTCAAAGATTTCATTCTTGTCCCCTAAGATTAACCCTTTTAAAAGTTATATCCCCTTGTGTGAAAAACCTTGTTATCGCTACTTCTCCGAAACTGTAGACCGTAGAGACAGCAAACCTTCACTAATGTCTTAAGGGACTTTAGGCCTAACTTCACTGTATAAGTGCAAAAGGATCTGATGACCCTTATGTGAGTTATTGCCCTTTAACTTCTTTGTACTTACTATTAGACCTTATAACTTGAAAATTATAAGTCATAGAAGCATGGGGTCAATTGCATTGTGACCCTTGATCTTTGACCTTGAATATTTTCCAAGGTCAAAGGTCAAGGTCGTTCCAAATTTTTTTTTAATTTTCATTTTTTCTATGCTTTAAGACAACTCTGGTTTCTTTTTCATGGAAATTAATTTTAAGGAGTCAGATATAAAAATGTGAAATTCAGAGAAGGTGGAAAGACCTCTTATTGTTCTATGAACAATAAGTCTCCTAGTTATTTTTCCGCCGTGTGATTTTGAGTTTCAAGATTTATCGAAAAGATTTTTAGTCCATAAGAATGTACTTCATTAAAGATTTTCGCAGTTGACCCTGCGTATATGAACTTTGATCCCTTTCGGAGTTATTACCCCTTTTGCAAGAAAGCTTGTTATCGCTACTCCTCCGAAACCATAAACCGTAGAGAAATGAAACCTTCACTATTGTCTTCAACTAATTTAGTAGACATTCCAATGATTTATTGCGAAAGTATTCATTGACCCGTTCAAAGAGTTATTGCCCCTGAAACTTTTTGAATTTTACAAATAATTAAAAATTTTCAAAACCAGAGGTCGTAGAGATATGAGACCAACTGCATAAGATTCATTGACCTTTGACCTTAAAATTCATTTAAAGGTCAAAGGTCAAGGTCATTCCAAAATGGAGTAAAATAGCTCTTTTTATATCTCTTTTGTCTTTCATCATATAGTTAATGTGTATGCATCATTAATATGTACTTTTAAAACTATTTCAAAGATTTCATTCTTGTCCCTTAACATTAAACCTTTTTAAAGTTATAGCCCCTTTTGCGAAAAACCTTGTTATCGCTACTCCTCCGAAACCATGAACCGTAGAGAAATGAAACCTTCTCTAATGTCTTCAACTAATTTAGTAGACACTCCAATGATTCATTGCAAAAGTATTCGTTGACCCCTTCAATGAGTTATTGCCCCTGGAAGTAATTGAATTTTACAAATAATTAAAAATTTTCAAAACAAGAAGTCGTAGAGACATGGGACCAACTGCATAAGATTCATTTACCTTTGACCTTAAAATTCATGTAAAGGTCAAAGGTCAAGGTCATTCCAAAAATGAGAAAATCAGCTCTTTTTGTATCTTTTTTGTCTTTCATTATATATTTAGTGTCTATGCATCATTAATATGTACTCTTAAAACTGTTTCAAAGATTTCATTCTTGTCCCCTAAGATTAAACCTTTTAAAAGTTATTGCCCCTTGTGCGAAAAACCTTGTTATCGCTACTCCTCCAAAACTGTAGACCGTAGAGACACTAAACCTTCACTAATGTTTTAAGGGTCTTAAGGCATAACTTCACTATATAAGTGGAAAAGGATCTGATGAACCCTTATATGAGTTATTGCCCTTTAACTTCTTTGTACTTCCTATTTAACCTCATAACTTGAAAACTATAAGTCATAGAAGCATGGGGTCAATTGCATTGTGACCCTTGACCTTTGACCTTGAAAATTTTTTCAAGGTCAAAGGTCAAGGTCATATAATTTTTTTTTCATTTTTAATTTTTGCTATCCTTTAAGACAATTTTGGTTTCTTATTCATGGAATTAAATTTTAAAACAAAATTAAAATTCAAAGAAGGTGGAAAGACCTCTTATTGTTCTTTGAACAATAAGTCTCCTAGTTATTTTTTATTATTTTTCCGCCGTGTGATTTTGAGTTTCAAGATTTATCGTAAAGATTTTAAGTTCATAAGAATGTACTCCGTAAGAGATTTTCGCAGTTGAACCTGCGTATATGAACTATGACCCCTTTCGGAGTTATTACCCCTTTCGCAAAAAAGCTTGTTATCACTACTCCTCCGAAACCGTAAACCGTAGAGAAATGAAACCTTCACATGTCTTCGACTAATTTAGTAGACACTTCATTGATTCATTGCCAAAGTATTCATTGACCCCTTCAATAAGTTATTGCCCCTGGAAGTTTTAGAATTTTACAAATCATTAAAAATTTTCAAAACGAGAAAATGTAGAGACATGGGACCAACTTCATAAGATTTATTGACCTTTGGTCTTGAAATTTATGGAAAGGTCAAAGGTCAAGGTCATTCCAAAACTGAGAAATTTAGCTCTTTTTATATCTCTTTTGTCTTTGAGCATATACTTAATGTCTATGCATCATTAATATGTACTCTTCAAACTGTTTCAAAGATTTCATTCTTGTTCCCTTAGATTAACTTCTTTAAAAGTTATTGCCCCTTGTGCGAAAAACCTTGTTATCGCTACTCCTTCGAAACCGTAGACAGTAGAGACATCAAACATTCACTAATGTCTTAAGGGTCTTTAGGCCTAACTTCACTTTATAAGTGCAAAAGGATCTGATGACCCCTTATATGAGTTATTGCCCTTTAACTTCTTTGTAGTTACTATTAAACCTTATAACTTGAAAACTAAAAGTAGTAGAAGCATGGGGTCAATTGCATTGTGACCCTTGACCTTTGACCTTGAATATTTTTTCAAGGTCAAAGGTCAAGGTCATTCATTTTTTTTTTAATTTTCATTTTTTCTATGCTTTAAAGAGAGTTTTGGTTTCTTTTTCATGAAATTTAATTTTTAGGAGTCAGATATAAAACAAAGTTCAAAGAAGGTGGAAAGACCTCTTATTGTTCTGTGAACAATAAGTCTCCTAGTATTAAATTTAATATTGTGCTTAATTTCCAATGTGCACAAGGAGAGCGATGTGGCCATTTGGTCTCTTGTCTCACAAATGTGTACAAAATGAACATACATGTACGTATATAATGTTATTCTGTTCAAAAACAGTAAAATATTTCTCATTTTAGATAATTCGTTTCGCGTTGATAAATTAATTTTTTCTTTTATTACATCGGGATCGATCTTCTTAAAAAGAAACCAACTCCACTTTCTACTTTCGATTTCTACTTTGACTTTCAGTGAACTTACAAAGGAAAATGGCTTCGGCGCCTTCAAACAATGACCTTACAGCATGTTCCATTTGTTTTGAAAAGTTTAAGATACCAAGATGTCTACCTTGCTCACACTTATTTTGCCACGGTTGTCTATCGTCATACATTGTGACTTGGCGTGCATCTAAAGAGGCGCCCATGGGGTTTTCGTGTCCGCTATGTAGGGAATTCATCCCATCACCAGTACCTACTAACAAGCCAGAAAACTGGGCTGATAAATTCCCAATATGTGAAATGCTCGAAAAATACAATAATTTCATGGAATCTAGACTATGTTCAGCGTGTCAGAGAGGAAACGAAGAAGAAGAGGCAACGAGCATTTGTCTGACTTGTGAAGATGCTTTATGCGTAATCTGTACGAAATGTCATAGACAAAATCGGGCATCAAGTACACACAAAATAATTCTAATTAACGAGCGTAATATAGTTGTTCCATTGACTACTGCTTTACTGAAAAATGAGAATTGTGAGGACCACCCCGATCGAAAAGTCGAGCTGTACTGTAATGACCACAGTAAATCATGTTGCACACTGTGTGCCAGCACTCAGCATAGAAAATGTGACAGCATCGTCGACATACGGAAAGCCGTAGAGACAATAAGGAAAAGTGATAATATACAATCATTACAAGAAGGACTGAGTAAATATGAAGTGGAACTGTTGAGAGTAAAAAAGACACAAGAAGATAACATCATTGAAATTGACAATATTTCGGATCTCATAACAGAAGAAACAAAGAAGCTGAAGAGAGAAGTCATTGAACAATTAGACAAACTTGAAAGCGAGCATCAGAATGAATTGAGCAGAGTTACGAAGGAGAGCAGGGAAATATTGAACAAAAATATTGATTCTCTTTCAGACAGAATTCAGTTCACCAGTCACTGTCTGAAAAGTCTTCGGGAAGTGAAAGTAGAAACAGGTCCTTCTTTTATAAAGGAATACCAGAAAATCAAAAGACATTTTGAAATGATGAAAAAGCAAAATTTGAGCAAAACAGAGCTAACGATCAAGATTGCAACCTGTGCAGCCAAGGAACTGGAGCAGCTTAAAATTGCTGTATCCCATTTAAAACCTCAAGTATCAAAATCTACAAGTCACCCTGTCACTGATTTAAACTTAACAAAGGCACAATTTTCTCTTCTCTATGCTTTTGACGAACCGGATCTGAACATATGCAGTGGCACTTTCCTTCCTGATGGAAACTTCGTTGTAGCCAGCCACAATACATGTACAAAAAAAAATGATCTAATTAAGTACTCTATGAAGAATAACACATCCAAACCGCTAAAAACATTTTATTCCAACAGTTGTCTTTTTGATGTACGATGTGTCAAAAATGAACTGTATGTGACTGACCACACAAATAAATGTGTAATCGTTATTTCAAATGATACCTTCACAAAAATGCGTGAATTTTCTGTTCATCCAAATTTTAATCCTTTTGGTATAGCAATCTTGGGGATCTTTCTATTTGTTGCTTGTGAAACTGCCATTCTGAAGTATGATATGCAAGGAAACTTGATTCATTCTTATCCTGTAGAAAACAGAGTTCTCTACGTGCTTGTGATGGAGAGCGGACACATTGTGTATAGCAATGTGGACACCCATAACGTTACTGCTATGGACGATCAAGGGACCTCACTCTGGACATACAGCAATCCAAAGCTTAGGACACCCTATAGTGTGGACAAAGACGAGATGAATCATATCTATGTGGCCGGTACATATAGTGATAATATTCATATATTGTCTTGTAGTGGCAGACTCATCAGAATTGTAGAAAACATTCCAAAACCTGCTTTTATGAAAGTTAAAGAAGCCAGTAACATGTGCTGTGTTTCTAGCCACTTTACAAGAATTATAGTATATGAAATAAAGTAAAATTTCTACTGGAGTATATTGTACAGACAGTACATCATTTTATAATGACAATACTACAAAGCAGCAACAATGTATCAAAACATAAGAAAATTATATTCAATATTAAATTGTTACTGTACAAACTGATTCTATGCTGATTTAGATTTCTATCCTAAGTCTTCTGGCTTATGTTTGATATGAAAATTCGATTGAAAACAAAATTTTTAAAATTGCATAAAATGTTAAAATTTTCTTTTGTTGGATTTATTTTATTTAGATCTCATAATGTTTAATATGTATATAGTTGGTAAAATTAATAATTTTGTTCTCTAACATTGTGTACAAGTAGATCTTGAATGAATATCCCGGCCCGGGTGAAGGGCTCTAATGAATTATGCAGCACATTAGGTTCTGTACACATGGTACAGACTAGAAATACCTTGGTATGTCCATAGGACATGAATGCCCAGCGAAGGGTATATTAGTAATGCAACATGAAAATTTGTACTAGTGTATGAAATTTGATCAGAATATCTTGCATAGCAATGCAGTTGGTCAAGGTCAAAGGAAATGCCAAGGTAAAACAAATGTTGATACAGTTAAAAATCTCTTATCAGTATGTATCAGCATGTGAAGTTGAAAAAATATTGTAAATGGTTTCTTTGAAACTGACTTTTAAAGACACAGGGTGATAAATGTGAGGTCAAGGTAAAATGAAAAGTCAAGGTCAAAAATGTTGATGCAGTTGAATTGCTTACATCAGTTTGTATTAGCGTATGAAGTTTGACATGTACTAATTTAGAAAAAAAGGTCCAGATAAAAGGAAAGGTCAAGTTTAAAAATGCTGATGCAGTTGAATAGCTCTCATCAGTATGTATCAACATATGAAGTGTGATAAAACTGTCTTAAATGATATTTTTAAAACGGAGCTAAACACTAATTTAAAAAAAAAAAGTGAAATCAAGGTCAAAGAAAGGGTTAAAGTAAAAAAAATGATGCAGTTGAATAGCTCTCATCAGTATGTATTAGTATGCAAAGTTTGATAAAAATATTTTGGATGGTTTTCTTTAACTCTTTACAACTTACTGTACTGTTATGCAACATATAACTAAATGTTCATGTCATTTCCCCGCAAGCACCTTTTAGCGTGGTACACGTTTCTCTAAAGTTTATTGCAAATAATATTAGGACGCTATACTTCAATAAAAAATAACTTTTCTTATTTGATGAAATTTTTGCAAGTATAAAATAGAAGGAAATAGGCATTAAAGTAACAATTTAATGAACTTTTTAACTTTTCACGCGAAAATGCGTGATTGCGGGGAAACGGTATATGCATGATTTTGCGTCAGAATTAGGAAATGGTATATGCGTTAAAATGCGTGACTGCGAGGAAGGGGGTTAAAACTGGGCTAAACATTTATTTAAGAAAACTGGTCAAGGTCAAAGGGAAGGTCAAGGTCAAAAACTCAAAATGGTGATGTAGTTGAATATCTCTTTTCAATATGCATCAACATATGAGTTTGATAACACTATGATGATGCATTAACTAAAATCAAACTGTCGCATTCTTACATTGTATGAAATATTTCTTTGACTTTTTTCTTGGTAATTTTTCCCATGAGAGGAAATCTTCAATATAGAAAAGCTCAACCCCAAACCGTCCATTGCAGTTTTTAAAGTTTTTTAGACAACGGGGTACAAGTAATACAGAGGAATTTAGATTGTTTTTGTCCTCAATTTGTTCAAAATATCAATGAAGGTTGAAAAGGAGCAATGTATTCTGTTTGCCATTTCATTCAGAAAATATATTTTAATAGTAAAAGTGGATCCTTCCGCGTTTAAGCTGACCATCTGAGAGCTTCTGCGATAGTGAGGGTGTCTGTCCATCTGTCTATTTGTCTGTAATGCCACTCAGTTGTTGTTTTCAAAAACGATCTTCTCCCAAAGTTTTTGTTCGATTTCAGTGTAACTTGGTACGCCTACACAAGTAGACTACACTAAGAAACCATCATTCTGCATTTCGATGAATGCTGTTGCCATGATTACTAAGTAGCATGTAAAAGAAATTCTTTGAAAATCAAGAACAAGGCATGCAAACGTATATAAATATTCAAGTTTTGAATTTTCTTTTAAAAGAATCAAGTTTGGAAAGAGTAAATTAAAGTTCTTATTATCATGATTATTGAAATTAAATACCGGGTAATAATTACAAGTGACAAGCGGATTTTTTCAGCGGAAAATTTTTACGCAATTGTTTTTCTTTTTTATAAAACTAAATTTCAAGGTGGATGCATACTGTCTACATGCATTCCATTCCTCTTCAAAAGTATCGACTTCCCCATCTACCAGTCCCAAACACGGTCCCCTTTGGGTCGATACTTTTGACAGTATGCATCCACCTTGAAATTAAAAAAAAAAAAAGTATCGATCATTTTCTGCTACCAGCCTGAAAAAATAGGGTAGGTTAATATAGTGTGACCAAGTGAAATAAAGATGTTGATGTAGGTTTCTATATTTATTTACGTAACATATAAGGTGATTCTACAAAAAAATACAAGTACATGTAAATATATACAATTTATACATAGTAATGCATTACGTATGACAAGTAAATACATATTAAACTTTATTACTGATAATCTTAGTCGTTCATTTACTAAGAAAAATTGTAATTTAAAGTTATAAATATATAATAAAATACCTTGTGCGAGGTGGAAGTGTCTAATCAGGGCGCCCGATCTGCAGTGATTTGAATTTAGATTTGGCTAGCTTATAATACAAAAGGAACAATCTGATTTGATGGTTCATTATGAAAACAGCCAATGAAAATTCTTAACCAATAGTAAATCAAAGAAAGTGTTCACCAGCTCCCATAGCAAAAAGAAATGGCATTTTTCCATTTTATCTCCATTCATTCAGCATTTTTAGCCATTTTTCATTTCAAAACCATTTTTCCTACATTTCTCTATCTTTCAATTTTCATAAACCATTTTCTCAGAACCATTTAAGAACCATTTCTGTTAGAAAATGTATTTCAATTGGTAAAGTTCCAACATTTTCTTTCCATTTATTTGAGTAAATGGAAAAGAAATGCCAGTTTGGTGATCCACCTTGCTTGATGGGGCCATTTTTCTCCCATTTATTTTCTGAGAAATGGAGAAAGAAAAAAATGGTTAGTCTTAGCCTTTAATATTATGATAGATTTATCAGTGGTTAATTTATGCCATGTGCCAGGTTTTTATAATGGGGCACTGGATATCAGAATTCTTCCCAAGCTCTGTATTGACCGCCTTTTCCAGTTTAAGTTTGAATATTGGACAAGAGCACTTTGACCTAGCTGGTAGTGATCGAGTTTAGATGGATGGACTATTCTTCAAGGAATATATCGGGTTTTAGTGTTTTTGAAGCTGACAAAACTGTATGTTGATGGTCAAAGCAGAAATAGATAACTTATTTCTTGGAAGATGATTATTTGTGACTGTTTTCATGTTTCAAACATTTGCCCAATTGGAAAGCTAGTTTAAACGTACGTTACAGCAGAAGAAATGCAACACATTCGTTTTCCATACACAGAAAGGACCCTATTCTTTTTGAGTGGTAAGTATACATATGTACAAAATTTTTATTAATTTGAAAGTAACAGACAAATCCCAAAGAAAACGCAAAAGGATTCGAGTGCCCATTAATCATACTGATCGATGCAATAATCAATAAACCAATCTTGTTAATGAAAATTTGTCAGACTGATAGACTCTTTTATAAATTCTTATTGATTAACATCAATTAAAATAAATTTTGTTAATATTTTCTTGCATTTCCTTTTATTTTTAGAATAGTCTGCTTGCATACATTGTCATATGGACATGATGGAGCACAAAAATGAGCACGGGAAGATATAAATTTTCAAAGATGGAGCAAGACTACCACAATTCAGATCAAATTGGGATTTTAATTGATAAAAATTTCCAGGAATTCAAAAACCAAATATGTGAAAAAATTGAACAAGTGACCTCTATTTTGTGACTGACTCTGCAACTAAGAAGATGGATTTTTAAAGTGCTTAATATTCCTTGCATATGGATATCAATTAAGGGCCCACCTAAATTTTTCATTTTTCAATTATGAAGAAAATGTTTTAAAATGGATATTAAATGGCTAAAACAAAAACCATTTATTTTTCATTTTTCATCTCATTTGCATAAATGGTTTTGAAATGGTTAATTTGCATGTTACAGGGCCCAAAAAAAAGTGTTTGAATGGACTTTGAATGGAGTTTGAATGGAGATAAAATGAAAAATGGTTTTTAAATGATCAGCCTTTCTGTTGAGAATTCTTGAAAGATTTGACGAAATAAAATGGTTTCTGAATGGTCTTTAAATGGTCAGAAAAGAAATGGCTTTTAAATGGTATCTAAATGGATTTCATTTTGATAAGGGCTCAATCCACCTGCGCACACAAACTAACCCAACTTTAATCTCAAAGACATCGTTCAATTATTTTAGAACGTAGTTAAAAATGAAAAACTTTAATAAATATATTCAATATATATAAATCCGCCCACATACTTCCCTGCTTTGAATTTTATCGTCCCGATAAAATCAAATTATAATAAATAAACAGAGACAAAATACAATTCGAATGTTTCAAATTTACAGTCTTTAGTTCATTATGACAGTTTTTATTTCAGAATTAAACCCACATACTGTCCTGCTTTCCGCGCACATGCAAACTTCGACGCAAGGGCATTGGAAAACTAACGTCACTGTTTTTATAGTTGTCACACGCATCGCTGATTGAATTTGGAGGTACGCGCTTAATGTCTCGTCTATGAAGAGTTCTCTGCTGTCCGTCACTTGAAACCACTGTGTACACACTGTCCTTGATCGTCCGGACGCGATATCTTGTTGAACTCCAAAGGTCCTGTAGCTTGTGTCTTCCAGTAAAACCTCTGTTGCGTACATGAAAACTTCATCTCCCACCTTAATCGGAGGATCTGCGATGTTGTTGTCGAAGCTCTCCTTCCTCTTAGATGCGTTTCTTTCCAAATTACTTCTCGCATGTTTGAATATTTCACTGA